GTAGCCCGGTATGTGTCTGGTGGTTTTACTGAAGAATAATCCTGGCTCTAGATACAGCGTGTACAAATCAATGGTGCTCGAGAGCAGTTGCTGTCCGTAATATCAGTTAAAGCAATCCCTTGTGCCAAAAGGATCATCATCTCTCGACTGTTTTTTTTTGGCTCACTGGGTTAATTGTTTAATTTATTTCGATGTTTTCAAGAAGTGCCTAATTAAAAAAAAGTTACTATTTCCATTTACTCACCCCGTTGGCAAAACATCAGTTTGTTGAGGAGATGCATTGAAGTACTAAATGTTTGTCCAACCTAAATTACATTTTTTATTTTTACAATGCAGTGGTACGTTTTATTTTAACGTCTAGGCGTACTGCCAGAGAATTGGATCGGTCATAAAAATATATAAAATTCTAACGTATAATTTATTACCTTCAAAATTAATAAAAATTGAGACGCAAAGTCGCTGGGCCTTTTAAATAGTCATATGAGTGACATAGAACACATGGTGGAAGTTTATTATAGTGAGCTATGAAAATACGTAGCTTGATCTTTTTTTTAATTTTAAGGTCTGTTGATATATTAATTAAGGATTTAATCGAACGTACTCAGTTGTTAGAACTGCCAGAAAATAGGTACAGAAAACAGAAAGAGATACGATTCTTTCTCGGTTCAATAAAATGGGCCTTTAAATCGCAATTTCGGTCAACTTGCCTGAATTTTTGATAAAAGTTAGTTTGAGGTATATTATAACAACAATAAGTGACAGTAATTTTTGTTCAACCCCTGGCCAGGGGTGATAGAAGATAAAAAAAGGGGTTTTTCAGGTAACTCAAAAAGGGTAGGAGCTAGGAAAAAAAGTTTCTTATAAAAGCTGTAGAGCATAAAATTCTACATAAAAATGGTCTATTGACTTTTTCTTGTACTATTAAAATTAACAGAGTTAGGGTGGCTACAAGTTAAGGGATGATTTCAAAAATTGAAAAAATCATAACAGGCAGAAAAATGAATGAATTTCATATTTTTTTTTTCAATCTACTCCAAAAAAATGTAAGCTTTATTTTCAGAGAAATATATATATTTTTTAATTTTTAATAAAAAACTTATAACAATTTCAATTTTGTAATCGTTAATTTTTATGATTTACCTAACAATGAAATAATATTTTTCAATGCCATTCCATTGATTATTTAAAATAATGAAAAGTTGTTTCCGAAATTTAGTTTCACGACAAAGATAAAAAATCACGTTCGCTTTGTGAAATTGTTATAACTTTTTTATTAAAAATTAAAAAATATCTATTTCTCTGAAAAGACAGTTTACATTTTTTCGAATAGATTGGAAAAACAAATTATAAAATGACTTCATTTTTCTGTTTATGATTTTTAAAAACTCTACTCTAATTTAATACTCCTCAAATAAGTTTCAAATTTGATAAAATCACTTGGGCCACAAGTTGACAAAAGCTGCTGAACGAAAGCAACATTGGATGAAGGTAATGTTAAACTGAATTGAATTATTATTTTGACGAAAATCTGAAGATGAAGATGAGTACTGAATATTGGGACAACCTAAGTATATTGTAAAGTACATTCACTAAATTGTCGATGATATCAGAATTATCTAAAATAGGAAAAAATACTCATAGATGTTACACTATTCCCAAGAGATATGGAAGAACATGATTCTAATTTTATGCCCATATAGATAAAAACGTACACCTTTATCTAAAACGCTTTTATCGAAATACAAACAGGGCACTGTGAAGATAAAAAATGAATTACAACATTCGATAGCCGCTGTTATCGAGTGGACTATTACAACTTGAGGAAGTTACACGAAATATATTAGTGAAACTAACAGGCGACGACTTAAAAAATTATGTCGACAGTTCAACGGTGAACGAAAAAGTTTCATTGACTATCAACGGAACAACCTTGAAATGGTGTAAACATTGAAATATAATAATTCAAAAAACGTTAGAAATACAAAAATGTTGGGGGATTTCTCAGAAGGTGATGTAATTTGTTAAAGTAAAATTTATGTTTGTATAACAACTCGAAAAAGCATCGTATTTTAATTGTTTTGAATGATACTTATTCACGTTTCTTATTCACGTCTTTCACATGGGCTAAATTTTAAAACAAATAACACATTTGCATCTTTATTTTTTGAGCATATCGTCGTTATGTGTGCTAATGTTATATTTACTTGGCCAAAAATGGCAACAGAACAAAAAATACTGAAAAAGTTTTTTTTTATTTTGAACAATATACATGTTGGCGCTTATTATTCCCTTCTTACACCAAGGTCTATAATTATTATAGTTTTGAAAAATCAATCTTTTCGTTATAAAATTTATAATAACGTTTCTTTTTTAATTAGATTTGTTAGTTTAAATTTGTTTCTTTGTTTTTATGTATATTAGTACTATTACTAACGCCTTGTATATTGTAGCACATCCAGACCTTATCGTAATTTCGATAGTGAAGAAATTCATAAATAATATAAGCACATGCTGTTTACCCAACGAATGTTTGTTGAAATCTTTGAAGCTCATCATATAATATAAATTACACTAATTTATCTCAAATTGGGACAACCCTGTGGATATGATAACGCGTAATGATGCAATATCTACAGAGCATTCTCTCAATGTCTTGAACTTTGTTCGTGGAATTCTAACGCTAATTCTAAATAGCGCTGGAGCGCCATTTAATTTCCTTTATTCGGAAAAACACCAAACACAAATTATTTTTCAGACAAGTAACGTCACGAATTAAATCGATGCAATAAAAAGTCATCCTAAATCTGACTAATAAATCACGGATGTAAGTAAAATACATGCTTACGTCGAATATACCGTACGTTTTTAATAGAAACGATAGATTTTTGGCTAATTCATCAAAATAGTAGGTCGTATGGCTTGATAGATTTTTTTATATAAAGAAGAATGTGTTGTCATTGTCAGTAGACCCAACTTAGATTTTAGTTTGGTAAGAATAGAAAGAAACTTTTAATGTTGGTCACACTGTTTCATTTTCTGAAAACAATTGTTTCAAAAACAATTTCTAAGGGCTCCAGGATTCTTCAGATATTGAAATAAAACACAGTTTTCTACCAATCGCTCCAAAACCATCGGAGATATGTTTTAGTAGAGGAGAGAGAGGGGAGGGAGGAGAGAGGGATGGAGGGAGGAAGGGCGAGAGAGAGAGGGAGAGGAAGGAAGAGAAGGAGAGAAAGAGTGGGAAGGAGGGAGAGACAGAGATAGATAGAAGTGGAAAGATCGAGATAGACAGGGATTGAGAGAGTTACGTGGATTGAGATAGATAGATAGAGAGAGAGAGATTGAGAGAGAGAGAGATTGAGAGAGAGAGAGATTGAAAGATTGAGAGAGATTGAAAGATTGAGAGAGAGAGATTGAGAGAGAGACATAAATCTATATACATTTTTATAATACTGGGTGTATAATAACAGTGATAGTAACAGTAATAAAAATATATTTGAAGGAAAATAATTGCAAGCGAAAATAACCAAGACCTGGAAACTATGTCTCCTGTATGTAAACTGCTGCAATATGTACATATACAGGGTGATTCACAAATAGTGGTCACCATTTGTGAAACACCCTGTATACGGTCCAATTTTACCAATTTTAAATTTAATAAAACCTGTAAAACTCTCCACCCTGTACATCGAAACGTTTCCGTATAACTACATGTTTATATGGACGTTTTTCGTGAATTTTGTGATAAAATTTGGTCAAGCATTCTATTTACGCCCTGTACAACACACAGCGCAAATCGTATCACGTTCAACTCATTTCAAATATGTCGGTACAAAAAAAATTAAGAATAACAATGTGCTATGTATAGGCGATTATCTACCTGTAACTAAATTAATTATGTGACTATAGTAGTCTGTGGTACTCAAACTTGTTCTTATTCGGTCACATATTATGCAAATAACATTAGCTTTTAGGCGTGGCTATAAATCATATTTAACTGTAACAATTAAAGTGAAGTAAGGTTTGTTTGAGATAAATAAGCTTTACATGACCGTAATATATTCTGGATTCCCCACTTGTTAGTTTTTCTATTAGTTACTTAAATTCGTGATTAAAGTAAAAATGAAAAATTGTAGTTAAAAACAAATGCTTTATTTAGACTTGTTTTATAAAGCTGTACATATTGGTGGTAAATTTGAACTAAGGACGAAGGAAATGAATCTCTGTAGGTACGCCAAAATAAAAATTTATAGTCAGTTTTTTTCAAAAATGTGTTTTTCTTCGGAATTTGGTAGATATTAAAGTCTATTTAACATATAAAAATGTTTTCAATCTCGCTTAGAAACCTTATTAAATAAAATCTAAATATTATCATAATATAATAATTTAAAATTTATCGTGATGGGAAACGCTTTACATTATTAATATTATTATTATTTTTTTATTCGTGAATTTTTATTTCTCAGATTATCTCAGTTTAATATGTTATCTTAATTAATTATATCACTTTATTCGTAGTTCTTTCAACCTATCTATGTTCTAAAGTATGATACGATCTAATAAGCGTCAGGAAATTGCATCTAATTGTAAGAACGTTTGAGGATCACTGATCCATCGCGAGATAAAATGTGTAACGCTACATAAAAATAATTAACGTCTATCAATCAAAGTGACTTACAAAAAGTAATCGTTTTAATATAGGACCGGTTACATATTATTGACCCCCACAAAATCAACGTCAGGGAATTTCGCCTTCTTCAAAAACGTTAAGAGATCGATAGTACGGTGTGGAGATATATTTTGAGAGGAAGTATTTGGTTGCATATGTATAGGTAGCTCTGAATCTTGAATTATTATTTTTATGAAGTCGAATTACGTAGATACGTTGTACAAAATTAGGAAAAAATAGGTTGTATCTTAGGATGACATTGAGAATTATTTATTTTGTTGAAGCTTGAATTTAAAATTTGGAAAGTGTAGCGAAAAGTGTTGCGACTTACCGTCAATAGTTAAAGTGCGCCACCTAGTTTTCCTCGCCTTTTTTCCCATTTTTTCACACTCCAATTTTCCGGAATCTTTGGATTTGCATTAGCAGCTAGAAGCGCGTCATGCCTTAACACTATTTATTTAAATACCGGCAAAAGCGTGCTCTCGTTTTATTTAATTTATGAATTTTAATACACCAAGGTCCCTCGCTATTTTTTAATGAGTCGATAATAGAACTGTTTGCGGGTTTAATTTCACAGCTATTTACTTCCTTTTCGGCAGTTTCAAGCATCCAATTTTTTTTATTTATTTAACGTTTCTTTTACCCCGATAACCGGCACCGATTCTTGTGTGTGAACCCGCGTGTAAAAACAACTCTTCCTTATCACAAAAAAATCACATAACTATTCCGCGGTCATTTAGAATTTAGTTAATTTATGTACAAGTAACTACAGCATGATTTTCAATGTGTGTTACATAACCAGTCCCGTGCTCATAACATATTATCGACTGAAACGGGGCAGCCGACACCGAAATTCACTAACCTAGCGCTCAGACGCAAATAATATATTTAAAATCTTCGGAACCGCTCGGCCGCGGTCGCCCGGAGGAATTCCGTGTTCCAGAAGTTCGATCTTTCCGTGATCTCCCAGTTAATTTTGTTCCTAGTGCCAGGAAATTAATTTTTTTTTTAACCAAATGCTCATCCGAAGACATAATAATTGCCAGAGCTTCTGTTGACGTTTCGTCCCCGTTGAGCATTCGATTTCGAAAAATTGCGCAATCTTTAATTGTATTAAAGAAGACGGGACTTTGTAATTCAATATTGTTTTATTTTTTTACGTCTAGCAGTTTAGTTTTATCGCGAGCGATGCAATTTGCACTTGAGGCTTTTATTTGTGATGTAATATTGTAACATAAGATATTGTAAAAATTTCATTCATTTTGGTATAGCTTTAATTTAAAAAATCGGTTTAGTTCATCCTCTAGCACAATTTTGCTTCCTTTAGAAACATTTTTTTTGTGGCAACTCCACTATTTTTTACATTTCAATAAAATTTGATATAAAAGGGACTTTTAAGATATAGACCAAGAAATAAAAGTGAAAAATCATTGAGAAATCGTGAAAATTACTGGGCGGGATTTTATTGTTGAAAAGTCTTGGGAATGATAATACAAGAGGCGTCTCATCTCGTGGGCCATGAAAAAAGTATAACGTCATTGTTTTTTATCAACAGATAGGTCAAAAATTCGTCATTTTTCGTTCTACGCGTTATTGTAAAAAAACTATTAATCTTAGCAAAAAATGTTCAACAGACGATTTAATTTAGAGAAACTCATCTTTAAAATGAGACTTTATAAGTTAAAATTGCTTTATAAACAAAAAATTTATAGCAAAATTAAACGAAAAAGCTGCTTTTTTTCTTTAATTGTTAATAACTTTTTAAATAATTAATAAAATCTTACCAAACTTTCACAAAATGTGAATTTTTATATCCTTAAGATGTACAAAAGATGGGCTCGATCGGTCAAATAGTTTATTTATCCCATTTTTGAAAAAAGGCCCATTTTCAAATGACTATTCCGGGGGCAGGGTTATGACTAAAACATTCTTTTTGGGTTCATTTTCTTCTAGTTAAAAAAATATATTTTTTTCAAATTTAGTTGTATATAATTGTTAACAAATAAAAGGCATTCTTTTCCCTAATAAATAAATAAAATAAGTCCGCGGTTTTTAACTTTTGAAAGAAGTTATATACACCATTCGAAAGCTCGTAAAAAACCTACAAAAACAAGTGTCTAGAACTAATAGGTCCGGAGTTAACAATTTTTTTTTTAATCACAGAGCAATTTGTTATAAACATTAAGACCGGAAATTTTAACATTTTGTAAATGAAGGTAAACTTATTATGTTAATTTTAATTGAATTTGCCCATAATTGATTAATTCAGAGCCCGTCAAAGCAAGAGTACGCGGCAGTAGCCCTTCAGGGAGTGGTGGTGGGTGGTGGCTTTCCTCAACCAGGAAAAAACTGACAATGGATCTTCAAAACGGTGCGTTGCTTGAAAAATTTGTAATATTTCAGCTTCTATGTAACGTAGAACCTTTTTTTTAATTTTGAAGGGTTAAAATAATTTTGACATTTTTTTATTGAGAACTATTCTAAAACATTTCAAATAAAAAAAAATGCAAAAAAATTTTTTATTCAAAAAAATTCATTTTTAGGGGGTAGAAATAATCCAGAAGTAATTTTTTCGTCGAGCTATCTTCTTCATTTTTACCTTCAATTACAAAATGTTACCCTGAGATTTTTTTTAAATTGCCAACTCCCGATCTATTGGTCGTAGAAATTTGTTTTTTTTTTCCATTTTGTAGGTTTTTTACGAGCTTTCGAATGGTATATATAAGTTCTTTCAAAAGTTAAAAACCGCGGAGTTATTTTATTTGTTAACAATAATTGTATACAACTAAATTTGAAGTTGTTTTTTTTTTATTTTTTTTTCAGCTAGAGGATACTTGGTGTCCTTTCGAAGAAAATGAGCCCAAAAAAAATATTTTGGTCATAACCCTGCCCCCGGAGTACCAATTTGAAAATGGGCGTTTTTTGCCAAAATTGGATAAATAAATGGAATTTTGCAAAGACTATTTGACCGATCGAGCCCATCTTTTGCACATCTCTTAAGGATATAAAAACTCACATTTTGGGAAAGTTTGGTAAGATTTTATTAGTTATTTAAAAAATTATTAACAACTAAAGAAAAAGCATTTTTTTCGTTTAATTTTGCAATAAATGTTTTGTTTATAAAGCAATTTTAACTTATAAAGTCTCAATTTAAAGGTGAGTTCCTCTAGATCAAATCGTCTGTTGAACATTTTTTGCTAAGATTAATAGTTTTTTTTACAATAACGTGTAGAACGAAAAATAACAAATTTTTGACCTATTTCTTGATAAAAAACAATGACGCTATACTTTTTTCATGACCCACGGGATGAAACGCCTCTTGTATTATAATTGCCAAGACTTTTTCAACAATAAAATCACGCCCAGAAATAATAAATTTTAAAATGTTTCCTTTCCTGGTCTAATTATTCGAAGCCGAAGATAGATGAACATGATTTCTCACCTAAAATGTAGGATTAGCTAAAATACCTGAAACAGTGCCACATTTTTTGTTGGTAGAAATTTTTAGAAACATAGGTACATATACAATGCGTTCATGATGAAAGGAACAAATTCGTTTAAAATTCAGGTAATTATTTTGTGGAAAAACGCCTTGACACTTCGATTAGTATTTTTAGTTGCGGATTTTTTTACATAAGAAAATTGTAAAGGGTGTCTCAGGAAGAACATATGTAGTCATCATTGATTTTCTTTAATGAAACACCCTGTATACTATGCCATTTTTGAACTGTACGGTTAATTCTAAACACTTTTTGTACAACATACCATATCTCTAAAATCAGCGGTTTTCGTAATAATGACGTTTGAAAATTAATATTTTGAAATACACACAAGTAATTAAATAAAATGTTTAAATTGAACAACCTTGAACATTTTTTTAAAAGCCAACAAAAATAACGTGGTATGCCAAATTTTATTTTAAACAAAACAGTTTTCTTCGTATTAATCGTTTTTCATTCCTTGATCCCTAGACCATTTTGATGTAGTATTTTGTGACAATGAAAACCAAACTGTCACCGGTACTCTTAACGTACCTTAACCACAACCAAATTTTTCTTGATATCCTGTTGCGAAGCTACTTCGCTTACATGAAAAGTGCATGCTTAATAACATTACTATAATTTTAATTTATTAATTATTATAAAAGTCACTATTGTTCTATAAATTTAAATATATAAATTCTATAGTTCTATTAGTTTATCACTGGGCGTTTGAAACTTCTTAAATATTTCTAATATTGCCAAAATATCGCAATATTTAAGGTCATGTCCAAAGTACATAAGGTCGAAAATCGATCTAGTAAAAATATTGAGAAATTCTTCATGACAATGTGCACTGTGGGGTTGCCTATTATTTGGCGTATGTGATGTCACTACTAAAAAGGTCTATTACCACCAGTAGTGCTTGATGACGTAAGTATTCAGCAAAGAAATAACGTGTGCTTCCAATATGAGGGCTGCCCTGCCCCTGCCCATTATTCAGGAGTTGCCCGTGAAGCTTTAGATCGGGACTACTCAGGCCGTTGTCTGGCGTGCTAGGTCACCGGATCTAACATCTCTAGATTTTTTTATGGGGCACTCTTAAAGACATTGTATACCGGGATGTCCTACTACATTTGAATACATGAAATATTTATTAGAAACCTAATTTTTTGTGTAAAACCTGGTACCTATTTGCTCAGATACATCAAAGTTGATGTTTTCATTTATTATAATATTGTAAATAAAGTACAAAAAAATATTTGGTATAAAAGTTACTATATAGTTTTTTACTCCTTATTAAGCTTATGGGAAAAAAAGTATAGGTTCCCATTTGAAAATCCAAAGTTAACCTCGCTATGACCTTGAAAACATGGTCAAGGTCAAAAAACTATAACGCCATTTTATTTGCCCCTTGACACTGACTTCTATTTGACACATTTTTTCGTAGAATGTGTAGTTTTCGAAATATACATATAGTTTTCTCAAGTTAAATGAACCATCCAGTATATAAAATTTTTGGAATTCTTATGCACTCAAGTATACATAAGTATTGTATTGTATATTGCCTACCGAACAAAATTTGTTTGGGCCGTCATAATTTCCTAATTTTTAGTTAGGCTGTAATTTCTTGCAGTGTGTATGTATGGTTGCATATACGTAGTCTTAAATGTGCCCCGGCGTAGTAACCTATGACATTTGTGTTTATCGGTCCAGCTGATTTCGTTGTGCTGTTGTCAATATTAATTTGCGCCTTTTGGTGTTAGTGGTACAGATTTAATAATCGGTGTGTTTGTTAAAGGGATTTTAAAACTAAAAGTGCTTTTCACCAAGTCACATTCCAGCGATTTTTTTTCGGTACTTGCCTTACAATGTGTCCATGGATAGCCCCACAAAACATATAATACAGATAGCCCCTTCTCTCATCATAGCCGTCTCATTTACCGGAGAAAAGAACCTGCAAGATTGTCAGCGAGGTTGTATAAAACGCATTCTAAAATTAATTACACGCATACATAGTGTCTCAAAAATATGTGCTAAATTCTAATTTTTTAAATCTAGTTATATTCTTTATTTGACTAATGATATGACTGTGATGGAAGAAGGGGCTACTAATTATGAGTGGAAACCTTGTATAACAATTATAAATAAATTGTAAATTTCTATACACGCAGATTAGAAAAGAACTTAAAAAATGAATTTACCGGAGTCTGATAGCGAGGATGAGCTGCCCCCAGGTTGGGAGGAAAGGGTCACTGTGGATGGAAGTGTATTTTATGCAAACCATTTAACGAAAAATACCCAGTGGACACACCCCAGGACTGGGAAGAAGAAACGGGTAAGTAAAATAAAATCATATTGCTTTTTGGAAATTATTTATTGATAGTGTAGGGTAGGTACCTTATGATTAGTGCTGACTTTGATTTGAAAAAGCAAATTCACCAGTGTCACAAACTTTAGACCAGCAGGATGCCTTTCGTGGTTGCAGAACTGTAAATCGCAAAAAAACGTTTTAACGAAGCATTTCCAAGTTCCTGTAGGAACTTATTTCATTAATTTGTGACTTTGCTATTAAAGTTTAGAGTTAAACACTTTTCAGTGTTTGAATTTAATATCTGTCCGCAGGTTTCTGGGGACTTGCCTTTCGGTTGGGAGAGATGCATAGATAAAAATACGGGGAAAGTTATATATGTGGACCACGAAAACCGAAGAACCACTTACACAGATCCGAGATTGGCCTTTGCTGTTGAAGAAAAGGAACACGTTAACGATTACAGACAAAGATTTGACGCTTCCAGCACAGCACTTCAGGTAATGTATTAATGGTACGTCATTTTTCAACATTAAACAATATTGTTTAAAACTAGGTGTTGCATGGTCGTGATCTGAACGGGAAAGTAGCGTTGATAACCGGCGCGAATGCTGGCATAGGGTTCGAAACGGCCAGATCCTTAGCCAAGCACGGTTGTACCGTCATTTTCGCTTGCAGGAACTTGGCTGCGGCTGAGGATGCCATCGGCCAAATAAGGGACGAGAAAGTCTCTGCCGGGGACAATTGTATAGCTATTTACTTGGATCTCAATTCGCTCTCTTCTGTGGTAAGTGCTTATATAATTTTCATATAATTGATTACACAGGCACACACAAAAAAAATTGTATACTTTTTGACCGAGTATGATACCCTGTATTTTGATCCGCTGAAGACAGTGGAGCCATCAGAAATGCACCATCACGTCAGGATTTTTCACTAACCTCAAAAAATAGCTCAAAATCAGTGGAAATGTAGATTTTTTGTTAAAATAATTAAGGTTTTGAAATTAAAGTACTCGGACGTGTAAATAGGGTCAAAATAAAAACTTTTTATTGCTACACTTTTTTCCAAAATGCATTCTTGGAGGCATTTTAATGCTCAAAATTGGTTAAAAGTTGTAGTAGGTGAAACAATTGACAAAAGATTTAGTTATTTGGTCTGTGTCTACTACAGACAAGTTTTGAGTGTGGGTGAGATATAACCTACAAAATATATGCCATTTTGTAACTGTCACTGCTGCTCAAGGTAAGTACTAAGTACTCACGAGCACGTTCGTTTTGCGTTTAATTGTTTTTGTGTAGATCTAATTGGTCCCGTTCAGGTTTCAAAAAAACTCGCGTGTACGTTTCCTCATGGGAAATTATGGGCATAGTTCATGTTACGTTTTTTTTCTTAGATGCTCTGTTTTCGGGGTACAGTGTGTTGAATTTGTTATTTTCCAAATGATTTTCGTTAATTATCTTTAAATCGGCTAAAGATAAAAATGTCAAAAATTTGTACACGAGTGAACATCAATTGTGCGTTAAGAATAATGTGCAAACGATTTCTTTCTGAAAAGCAGTGTCGCCGATACAGGTAATTGGCGGGGTACAATCGAAAAAAAAATATGTTAAAAGTAAAAGTTTGTTACATTTCCAAAACAGTTTTGTAAACTCTAAAGCATACAAAAATAAGGTATACTTGTCGAAATTCGGTAGCATCTTGTAGAAATTTTGACATTTTTATTAAGAAAAACCAATTGGAAAGTAACAACTTCAACGCACTGTATCTGGAAAACAGGGCGTCTAAGAAAAAAATACATTATTTGAACTACTCCCATCATTTTCCCATGAGGAATTTGCACACAAGTTTCTTTGAAACATAAACGGGACACCCTGTATGTGTGGAATTCACTAGTACTGATGCCCAATGTAAATGGTTTTGGGTTAGAAACAAATTTATTAAAAAGAAAACGAGGAGATTTTTTTTTATTAATTACGTTATAATTCTGGTAAATACATTTTTACAGTACAAGTAAGATGTTTCCGGATGAAGCGATTAGCCGAGTCTGGAATTTCATATTTTTTACAAATTTTTTTATGTGAGCAATTTTTCGTATTTATTAAATTATAAAGAGTGACTAATACATAATATAAAAACACTATTACCATAATGCGTATAAAATATAAAATGATTTCTATACGGTTCAATATTATGTATTTATCTTTGTGCCACTCGCCATGCACATCGGTAGAATCTATAATCGTGTATAGACTGAGTTACACTGAACGTCGATCTATATTTTATCTCTGTCTTTTGCACTTGGTAGGGAATAGGGAAATGCTTTTTTAGTGGGTGTAAACGGACTTGATTTGCCCGACCTGAGAAACGTCATAGCATAAGTGTAAACGAGGGGTCTAATTCCATGGCTATAATAAATTTATAAATTAAAAAACACAACTGGGAGGTTTTAAAATGCTGTAATAATTAAAATTGATCAAAGTGCCGGTTATAGCAAACCGTAAAAAATATTAGATGTTATGTTTTATTATGTTTTTTCAATATTTTCTATATCTTGTTGCCAATGGATTTTCGTTCCCGGCACGCTTCATTCCCCTTACTAGTCCAAGAGCTAGCGATGAATCACTATCTATAATTTTGGCCGTCGAGTATAACTGTCATCGTTTGACACTAACTGTCATCATACGTTATTAATTGTAAAGTGGATCAACTAAAAGGACTACTCCGGCAAAATTTTTTATTGCGGTACTCAATACTGTGAAAAGGTATTTTCCGGACTAAAATCAAGTTTGTAAAAGTATGTTTTATTATGAAATAAATAAGTTTTTCAATTACTTTAACATGTCTAGTGAACAATTCGATATTTTTGTCAGTAAAGTGAAGCCCGAGATTAAGAAATTGTATATATCAAGAAAGCTTATTTAACTTGCCGAAAGACTGTCTGTAACTCTATGGCAAGTTATAATTAAGAAATAAATTTGTAGCTTCTGGGGACAGTATGGCCTGTATCAGTTATGCTTTTTGGCAAGGGTAAACAACAATTTCTGACATAATAAGAGAAACATGTATAGCAGTCTGGAATGTTTTGAAGAACGATGCATTTTTAAAAAAACCTGAAGAAGAATGGTTGAGGTTTTCTCAAGATTTTGAAAACCAATGCAATTTATAGATTAATTTTAATTGATTTGTAGAAAACACTGAACTTATTTTTGCTTTGATCATGACTATAACTCTGTACTTCAAAAACCTGCACATGACATTTCAATTTCAAACTATCAAACATCAGTCCCACCATTCTCACCAATACAATATCGTTTTTACCCGTTGAAACTGAAATTCACTAAAAACAATATTAACCAAAAATCGCGGATAAGCGCGATGGTGAGTATTAAAAATATATTACTTGAATTTTTTTGCCCCAAAACGTGTATGTGAACCTTCTGTTCCTATTAGAGATGTGTTGCTCTTTCACTGTCTGCTACTTTGGCACTGTTCCGCAGTTGTCACTGGAGCTGACTGTTCCGCTGCGACAAAAGAAGCAGTGATTTTTCGGAGCGTTTACTGCAAAGTGCAATTTACTAGCGCCAGAGACGTAGCTCAGGCGTGCCGGCCATAGCAGAGCAGATTCTCGATCAGTCGTTGCGATCTGCGCTTGAATAAGTCACAGTGTCACACACTAAACATATAATACAGTCGCGTTTGATTTAAAGACATTGTATTTCAGCGACTAGAGCAATGCGTGTATTGCTGGTTGCTGCTCTACAAATATTGTAAAAGTTTTTGTTTACAAAATCAAAACATGCGACTGTTCTTCATTTGTTTTTGTTGCACTCGCGGAAAAATTTTGAATATCTGACACTGTACTCACTGTAGGATGTCGTTGTTCTATGTGTCTTTTTAAATTGGTGATTGAAGATTTATAACAAATATTTTGCTTGCATATATTACAACACGCGCCGCGCCGCGCCATTATTTCATGGCTAGAAATTGGCCTCAATGATTTGGGATCGAGGGGGATTATCCCTCTTTATCCTGCCTCATCTCGTGTAGGCCTGGACAGCCTTCGTAGGTGACCCCATCCGTCGTCTACCCCGACCGCAAATGCGGCCGGTGTAGGCGCTTTGTGGGACCTCCTTTTGTCCTGGCTGGGCCCCGCCGGCTAGGGCCCAAATATTACAACAAGCTTTACTTTCATGCGTTGGTAAAAATAAATTCCACAGGAAAGATTTTCTTCGTTTATCCATGTCCAATTTTATTTGTAATAAAAATTTATCAGTAGTAACTTAGGACAAAATAACAGATCACTACGCTACATCAAATTCAAATAAATAATGCAAAAGCGAAATAACAAATTGAGCTAAATCTACGAAAGTTGGCACATGCTTGAAAAACAGCGCATGACGAAAGTATTCCTATTCCCTAACGCTAGCCGCTATTAAGCACGACAGGTGTCGATTTATGAACTTTGACGCGGAAATAAGGGAACATATCACGGTAGGAATGTATGCGCGCGCTACCAGGAGCTGTTCCGAAAAATCGCAGCTATTTGTCACTGCTCTGTTGCCGGAGCAGTAGCAGGTGTCACTGCTCCGCAAAAAGAGCAGTTTAGCCCATCTCTAGTTCCTATTGACACCATGCTTTCATTGTAGCTACCAATTAGTTAGTCACTCTCGGTCAGTAGGTGTAAAGTAATGTTTTGTCCCAGTAGGCATTCAGTAGCAATGACATTTAAGGTACAACATTTATTTTGTAGGTTATGTCTCATTCATCTACATAATTAATTTTTTCGCGACTGATGTCGTATATGTGCAGTAGACTAGGCCAAAAAAATCGACTATTTTTTTTTCTAGAGATATAGAGAATATCATTCAGAATGACGAAAAAAAAAATATCGTGAGAGTTTGAGCTCTTAATATTAGTTTTAAGAGGTCTATCATCACTAGTTTCGATTTTTTATTCATTCCTGGTCCCATTTTTGGGACCTACATATATTTTTGAAGGAAATTGAATGCCGTACAAAAAAGGTCAGATTGAAAATTTTCGGCAGACGAACCATATCCATGTAATCAAACCTTGAAAATTGATGTTTTTTCGATTTGACCTGTTAACGTTGGAATTTTGTAAATAACGAACAAATTAATATCTGAAAAAGAACAATACACATTTTCAAAAGAAATTTAATGCTCTACAAAAAAGGTCTCAATGTTTTTGCATAAATTTACTCCTTCAAAAGTTATTCACGATTGAAATTAGATTTTTGTTTTTTTCGTTTTGGGCCCAATTTCTTTCACTCAATGGAACAAATTGATATTATACATCATCAACAATTATTATTCTATCAATATAATCACCAAAAATATCCAAAATTCATAATATATTCAAATTCATTCTGACTCAATAGCTACTATTTTTTCTACAAGAAATGTCTGCCGAAAATTTTCAGACCTTTTTTGTAGGGCATTCAATTTCCTTCAAAAATATATAAATTTTTATACCCCGATGGTTTGGCAGGATCAGGAATAAAAAATCGAAACTAGCGATGATTAAAACTAATATTAAGGGCTCAAACTCTCACTATATTTTTTATTCGTCATTCTGAATGATATTCTCAATATATCTTTAAAAAAAAGAATAGTTGATTTTTTTGACCCAGTCTGTGTGAATTTTTCTTTTTTTTTAAACAAGGCAAGGTTAATGTATCATTAGCTTTTAAGCAAATGTTATTCACTCTATCTACTCAAAAATGCTTTAATTTCCAATTTTACTTTATTTATGGATATTTTTTCTAGATTCAGTTTGCAAACACAGTAAAAAGCAAATATGACAGAATCGACATGCTAATACTAAACGCCGGAGTCTTCGGCTTGCCGTTTAGCAAGACGTTGGACGGATTTGAGACTACTTTCCAAGTTAACCACCTGTCACACTTTTACTTAACCATTCTCTTGCGTCCCTTACTAGTTAGCGGATCGAGAGTGGTACTGGTTTCTTCCGAATCTCACAGGTAAGGGAACCTTCTGAAAATCTACGAAGACGGAATACTAACCTTATTATTCCCAGATTTTCCAATTTAACCCCAGAAAACTTGTCTCCGCTAACCCTATCCCCCGATTCGGCTAGCAAGTACTGGGACATGATGGCCTACAACAATTCGAAACTGTGTAACGTACTCTTCGCCAGACAGTTAGCAAAGAACCTGCAGACGTGCGGCATATCCGTTTTCAGTCTACACCCGGGCAATATGGTGTCGACGAAACTGTCGAGGAACTGGTGGCTGTACAGGCTTCTGTTCGCCATCGTCAGGCCTTTCACGAAGTCCTTGCAGCAGGCCGCCAGTACTACAGTGTACTGCGCCACGGCTCAAGAGCTGATCGGGGTAACGGGTAGGAAATTTTTTTTAATACGTTTTTTCGTGTTTAAAATAAAACGTTGTAGGGGTATATTTCAATAACTGTTACCAATGCCAGGAGAGCGCGGCGGCGAGAAACGACGAGCTGGCTAAGGCTTTGTGGGATACGAGCGTGGAAATGATACAGAGCGTTCTGGGGAAAAACGCCCCTGGACTGGAGCACGAGAATAAGAGGAGTCTGGAGGAATAAAGGAAATTTTAAGGTAAAGCAAGTTTAGAATTTAATTATTTTGCGGTTCTAGAGATTAGTCTGATATACAGTGTGGGCCAATTTCGATATTCTCGGGTAGTTCCCGATCTTTCACAACTCACGTTTACTTACCCCTTTTTTTTACTTTTAATTCCTCAGGAAAGGTGAAAATGAGACTAACATGTTGGCAAAATTTTATTTCAACCGACGCTAAACTACCGATACAAAAAGGAAAGAAATAAAATCAATTGTAATTTTTTTTAATGGAAAAGTTAATAGTTACAAAGTTACAGGCATACATAGAAAATAGTTTGGTGCGAATAAAAATCAATAAATTACGTTTCGAGAAGATTCTTTACTTAAATTTACTGAGTATTTTAACAGTCTTCATTAAACTAAAATTAAAAAGAAAATCAATTAGGCAGTCGAGTATTTCATTGCGCGGTCCGTTGGTTCGGCCCATATACAGGGTGTTTTAAATCAGATATGATAAACATGGTCTCGGAAATCGAGATAATTTGTCGAACCGTGAGAGATTTTTTGGAAAATGTAAAATTTCTTTATTTTATTTCTATAATTGTAACCGATGTTTATTGTAACTGACAACCTTAGAATTAGGAATCCAGTTATGTAAATTTTGATTAAACTTATTAATTTAATTAAAAAATTATGTTGATGATGGTCGCTAAAAAACGAAACGCCTCACTGGAAATCCGACTTGCATATTTCAAAGAACTTCTCAGTTTTACAATCTATTTCGGCTGGTTCCTGAATTACCAATCATTTTTTGAGCTGTACCATCGCGATCGGTTATCTTAAGAGATACAAGTTCAACCAAATTGAAGTAAAATTGCGATGACCATTAATTTGTCAACCAGAAAGAGGGACCGCAAAAAACCTGTGATTTTCGCCCGTTTTTTCAGATAATTAAAAATAATACATAAAAATATGTTTTTGGTCGCAAATTACTTGTAAAAAACTGAAATGAGCATAGCTTTTAGTATTTTGAAATTTTAAAAATCACCCCTACTTAGGGATTGAAAAAATGCCAAAAATTAAGAATTTGAATATTACCAATTGATATTAAAACTATTAGCATGTAAATTATCTCAATATATATTTTTTTGGAATTTTTACAATTATTTCTGATATTCTCTATTTTTGGAGATGATTCCAGTCCCTGAGCGCGCTTAAGGGTGGATTTTCTAATTCAACATGCTTATTTCAGTCATGAGAATAAATCTTTCTTTGTATCAAGAATCATTCGATAGAAAAATTCACATGCTAATAGTTTTCATATTTATTGGTAATATTTAATTCTTCATTTTGGCCGTCTTGAAAATTTTCAAAAAAAAAAGCTATGCCCATCTTAATTTTTTACGAGGAGTAATTTGAGACCAAAAACATATTTTTATCTATTTTCTTTAGTTCTCTGCGAATTGTGAAAAAACGGGCGATTTTTGCGGTTACTCTTTGATTTGACGAGAAGTGACGTGCAAGTTTTGTTTTGTTTAATGGCGCCACATGGAATTCTCCCATTTTTTAACTCGGCACATTTTCGTGATTATAATAACGTGTCATAATTATGATAATAGATTTACTTTTTTGTTTCTACAGAAATATTAATATAATAAATAAATAAATAAATAAATAATGATTATCCATTTTTACGTAGTGTTTTGAAAGCAAAACCTCCATCTGTTGCTTTAAACGAAATTTTCTCAGTTCAAGATTAGAGTTTAAATAAATAAAAATGTGGATCTCACATGACGCAGAGCGAGATATGCTGCAAACTTATCGATTAATTAATTTGGGGAATAGGTAATAGTTGGATGTTTCGTTTTCGAAAAGCTCCTTGGGAAAATAGATATTTTTGCATTTCAATGGAAACAAAAAGTAAACCATATCAAAAGACACATCAACGTAATCAGAAAAACGCTCTGAATTCAAAAATACAAAAAATTCCAATATGGTCTTCATAAGATTAAAAAAAAAACTAAAATCAAAAACTATAGGGCGGATTTCTCTTCCGCAAATTGTTCATCATCAAATTTCACAACTTTGGTGCTTTTTTCCGTTTGGTGCAAATTAAACAGTTTCTTTTTTAATGAATCTGTAACGACAATGAAATACTTTACCTTTCCAAAAAATACATATAGTTATTATGTACAAGACTGGCAGTAGTAACAAATTAATTAATGATTACATTTCACTTTCTCCGAATCTGTTCAAATTGCGAACTAACGTTGGTGATTCATTGTCAGTCTAGAGAAAATGAAAATTACAAATCCGCTAAAAACCTAAACAAACACATTTTTGGCAGTACGTTAACCCTAAAGCATGTCTGTTTTTACATAGATACACAATTTGCAACATAAACTGTCCTAACGAGCACGAGCATTATTCCATTTTTGTGCCTTCATATAATACCAGGTTAACTTTAAGTTGGGGTCATTTTTTTAGGGGTATTCCCCTGAACACGAATCTGAAATTTAATTTTTTTTTTAAATCAAATAAATAGTCTTTTAAACAGTACTTAATTCTTGTCTGTAAACGAAGATACCTCCGAATTAGTGTGGTAAGTTGTATAAGTGCACTATCAGCGTTGCCAGTTGTTACCTTTTTAAAACAACTGTTCGAGGGAGACAATGGAAAATAATTTATTAACACAGATCACTTTTGTATGGCTCAGCGACGTGTTGTTTGTTAAGTAGTGTATTTAGTGTAACGAAGTGATTTTCTTTGTTCTGAGACCCCACAAGCTGTTATTTTTCAATTTTATTTAAATAAATGTATAATATTGCACCGTCGAATAGGTAATATTAAAAAGTTATAGAATTTGAAACAAAATACGGTATTTCCCTACTTTTTTTTTTCTTATTCAGCCGCCCGGCAGCCAATTGGTGCTAGATATATTGAATTAATTCAAGATAAACAAAGCAACAACAAAATTTGTGAACAGTTTAAATTTAAGCAGAATCCGAGCCTGTTCGAAGGTTAACATCTGCTGTTCGGTTAAAATTCTATATTGCCACACTGCTATGTTAATTCCGCAAAATGGCAACGGGCGAATACGTCATCACCGCTTCATTCCGTTACATTTTTATTTTAGTTTGGGAAGTGTCTTTATAACCTTAAAGTTAATTATTTTAGTGTTTACTAACAGTACGGTGTAGTTTTGTATTTTCATTTTCAAGTGTTTGTGTGATATTATGAAAGAACGCTTGAGATGGTTAGAGACTGCTTAATGTCAGGAGAAAACGATGCTGTTGCAAGAGACAATATCATGTGGGTTATACTGAATAGGAAAACGTATAAGATTGGTTCAGCATTTAAGTTGTTGGCCACAATATTTCAAGTATGTCATATGCTGTAAAATCAGTCGAGTAAACTATTATTTACATATTTTTGTGTATTCGATTATTATTTATTTATTACTGCTTGAGTTTTCTGTTAGATGACTTGTTGGGTACTTTATTTTATTTAAACGAATTAAATTTTTTTTTATGTGTGTACTTTTGAACAAGTGGCATGCAAATTAAAAATTTCTTTACACCAAAAAGTAATTTGAGTTTCAAACTAAGTCCATTTTATAGAAAATATGCGTAGAGTAGAGGAAAGTGTTATTTGTGCATTAATTCATATTTAGACAAAATGTGTAATAAAATCTATAAAAATGTATAGCTGGTTGGCTATTTGCTATAGAGCCCTCTACGTGATGGGTGGTATGGAAGTTTGCTGTTTTTTAATAACCTTTCCCTCAAATTATGAGGTTTGGCAACATGTACCACAGTTTCTAAGAGTGCAAGCGCTGCGACTAACGCGCTTTGTTGTATGAGGTCATTCTAGCTTGTTCGGCGGCGGGGTTTAAAAATTAGGAAGAAAAGATTTTACAAAATTCAGTTTTCACGACGGAGGTTTAGAAAACAAACTTATGATAAGTGTTTTTAAAGATCTTGGGTAGCCTCCGTATAAACATGACCCCCATTGAAAGTTACACCCTGTATATTTCATAATTACCTGGAATACATATATTTCAAATAAAAATGAAGCGAATCTGAGTTACAGAAGAATTTTGCTTTCTGTTATTTTTGAAATGTTGACATTTATTAAAATTGTCGAGTATTAAAAATATTTGCAACCGTTGTTGCCTACGGACAAAAATTATTAATTAGGACAGTTCGTGTTGCATAAATTAACCTAACATACTCGGTTTTTATATTTATAATAGTAGTATTAGTAAAAGGTCTCAATATGAGACAGAATTAAACGTAGGTTTAAAATATATAAAGTATGATCATACATCTCTGGTGGCAGTAGTCAGTATATCGTATTAATACAATTAATTCATAGGAAATGAAAATATCTAGGTATGTTAGTAAATAATTGTCAATTTTATGCGGAAAATTTTGTAATTGCGTATTGTGGCGGTGGTTATTTGGCAAATAATATTTCGGTTTGATTGTCAAGATATAAAAAAAAGTATTCGTTGAAATTAAAAACCCATTATTTCCTTGGCGATTCCAAAAATCATGTTTCCGCAGACTGTATCAAAAAATGGAGGTAATTAAAATTTTACACTCCTTTTTTGCGATGATCTTCAAAAATTATTATGTTTTGAGAAACCCTTCGGAATTCTGTTTTGATGACCGATAGCTGCCGTGTGAATTTTCGGGGACCAGCCCGACGACTCTCTCGATAGTCGTGAAATCAACATTAATCTGACCGAACAATGATTTTTGGGCGCAGGATATAGAATAAATAAGTAATGTCAAATGTACGATTACGGTATGGCAATTGTATGTATGTAACGTTAATATACCGGGTCTGAGTAAACAATTAATATACTAAAATACTGGGCAAACGTATAATACAAATCAAGTCTTGTCTCTATGCGAAGGTATTTAAAACGTAAGTAGAGTGAAGTAAACCAGAATATTCGGACTCGGATTGATTGACCCCTTGTTTTTTCAGTTCGACTTTAACTTTGCTATCGTCTCTGTATCGTTCCGGACTATAATAAATGACAAACAGTGCTTACTTTTTAGTAACTTTAAAATGAAAAATTAATAAATAAAATTCTAATGACACATTTTTGTCCATGTAATTAATACATACTTTTAGCCTGTCACTACATAAGTCGTTGCGCATTTCCGTTAGTCACAATCCGGAGTTTTGGTAAAAAACAATTATAATCACGTTTCCAAATCTTTTCATTCATATGCATATGGCTAACTCTGCCCTTAGAAATTATACTTTGGTCGAAATATCTTCGAAATATTCCAATTTCTTCACGTGACCTAGAACACTTCATTAATAGGTTACAAGGAGAGAAGTAGTACGGACTAATTTAGTAGTAAGCCCAACTAAATAAAAAATAAATAATAAAGATTAAAAATGTACGTCGTTATCTTCTTTTGGAATCTCCCACGTTTTTTTTGTTTCCAATTGAATTAGTGCAACCTTATTTTGATTGTACGTTTCTCTGATCTGGTCTTCGCCTCTCTGAACACATGAAAATGTCGTTGCTTGGGTTTTAAGTGATTTCCACTGCTAAGCCGATGTCCGGGTCCGGCACGCAGTTACCACAGTATCCGCCGCATTTGCCCGACGCCACAGTTTCCTGAAAATGCGACGAATCGGCTAAGTTTCTCCAATTTGGTGATTTTAGGAAAATTTACAAGAGTAACGTCACAATGTTTTTTTTAAATATCCTAGCGGGTGGCGCAGTTACTCGCAGCACTCACGTCTCACAACCTATTGTGCATGCCGCTAATAGGAGTTTTTTTAGAACAGGCCCGTGCTTTGTGTGTAGGAAAGCACTAGCTTTGCTGGAATGTTTGGAGGTGACAGGAATGCTGCCCCTAGTTACTTGTGTCTACATTCGTGCAATCACTAGGACGTAAAAAATACATATGGGACGCTTCACGTAATATCGATCACGGCTCTCGCCAAAATTTGGAGACAATACATGGTTTTGGGCGTACAAAAACTAGTTCCAAGTATTTTAAGATGTTATGTGGCGGAATTGAAAAATCCAATATGGCGCCTGCAAGTGAAAAAAAAATTAAGATTCATCCAATAAATTCCTTCCAGAGAACATATTATTGCTTAATCTGTCTCCAAATAACTTTTCTTGGAGACTTCGGGATAGGTGTTCATAAATCTTAAGTTATTTTCAGAAGATTCAAGATGGCAGTTTTTATATAACTGCTTAGTAAGCCATAAACCACAAAACTTTTATTCAAACATAGTTCAGTCGTCTATTTTACAGACAAAACGAGTCAGAGTAGTCATTTTCTATGTTTTCAAAGTCACTGAATCATAAATTGAAGTCGATTCAATAGTATATTATCACTTTCCCAAAAAAAAAATCACGCGACTTGTCGATTCTTATGTTTTTGAAGTTTTGTTGTTGTTTTTGACTCGATAGGTCATGTTATTATATTATTTCTTTTTTGATTTATTTGAAAATCAATGCTTACTTCTATTCTATTAACCTTAAAAAAAAAAAATCAAAATTTTTTTATTAATACCACGATCAATCCTAAGAGACTCGTCATTTGCCAGTAACGGCAAAAATCCCAATTTTTAAAATGACTATCTTCGAGAGTATTGAGGATCATCGTTAGTGGAATATTCATGGCATTGCTTGTAGATGAATAGGCTTACGACTGACGACATGGTGGTATGGAAGCTGATATCTTTCAATACTATTCGAGAACTAATATCGATAATGCAGGAAATCATGGTAGGAAAAAATGTAATTAATTATATTAAATTAATCAATCAATCAATTAAAACATTTTTGGAGTTTAGGTTGAAAATGTGGAGCATTATGAGAATTAAAATTTTTTTTTGAGGTTAGGATTAGAACTTGGCATAATACTATTGAACCTACTTTAAATTACGATTTAGCAACCTCAAAAACATTAGAAACAACTCTAATGATTTAATTCACGGTATGAATAAAAAGTCGTGATTTTTCAATATCTTTTGAGGTTAGAATTGGAAAGTGATACGATACTATGGAAGTGACTTCAATTTATGATTCAGCGAGGAAATGACTAGTCTGACTTGTCATGTCTGAAGAAATCGACCATTGAACTATGTTTGAATAAAAGTTTTGTAGTTTATGGCTTGCTAAGCAGCTGCCATCTTGAATCTTCTGAAAATAACTTAAAATTTATGAACAGCGATCTCGAAGTCCCCATTAAGATTATTTGGAGACGGATTTATCAGTAATATGTTCACTGGAGGGAGTTTATAAAATGAATCGTATTTTTTTTTACACTTGCAGGGGCTATATTGAGCCGCCATATTGGATTTTCGAATTCTGCCACATAACATCTTAGAGTACTTGTAAGAACTAATTTTTATACGCCCAAAACCATGTATTGTCTCCAAATTTTGAAGCGAGTCGTGATTGATTTTACGTGGAATATCCCATATGTATTTGTTATGTCCTAGATTGCACAAATGTAGACTCAATTTATTAACTAGGGGCAGCATTCCTGTCACCTCTGGATATTAGACAGGTTCCAGCAGAGCTAGTGCTTGCCTACACACGGAGCACGGGCCTGTTCTAAAATAACTCTCATTGGCGGCATGCACAATAGGTCGTAAGATCTATTGGGATATTATAAAAAATTATTTAGACGTTACTCTTACCTGTCTGTATATTTCCGATGACGCATAGGACCCTATTTCCTCCCACCGCACGTTTTTAGCCAGCTTGAAGGAAGTGTGTGTCAGGTCAACGGAGAACCTGCCCTGCGCGCATCCCCTCACAGAACTGTAACAGTCGCCAGCGGTGCCGAAAGCTATCCTCCTTCCTTTTATTTGTTTTGAAAACGTGAAGTCATCGCCTGCAGGACAACAATACGAATTAAAAAGTTATAAGTGACGGATTAGTCGGCTTTACCAATAATTTTCATGGACGTGATATTTAATCGTACTTTCCAAAATTTCGTAAAGCCAGATCTGTCAGTGCCGACCGCGTCGCAGTGACAGCTATCCTTCCTTTGTCCGTCGTAGGGGCAAGATTGAACGTCGATCAGTCTAGAAAAAAATAACGTTTCTTTACGAAAGACTTCCTCTTTGGCGAAGTGCAAAACGATACCTTTTATCGTAAATTTCAGCGTAATTCCTCGCGTCGGGATGCAAGCTGATGTATTCCTGAGGTTCGGGTGTGTCCATTTTGTAGCAGTAAATTTGCACCGGTCGTCCATGAATCGATATAAAGTAGTCCTTGTTTTCTTTGGTCTTCATCGAGGTTTTCACCTCTTTGCAGCTCCTATTTAGACCTGATAAAAACGCTAATTAAAATTAACCCGACGTTTACGTGTGAAATACTTACACTTTGTTTGGTTGCACTTTCGTCTTTTGGTGGGCTTCAAATTTTTTCGACACAGATTGCGAGACACCTTCTCTTTTGTTTTGAGATTTACGCAGTGTACCGCACGTAGTTGCTTCCCCTTTTTGCCGCATCTTTGAGAACACTGGAATATTAACGGCAAAATAAATCGTGTTATTTAAAAAAAATTATTGTGATCAAATGTATGTATACCTGTCTCCATGGTTCCGTATGCCAGACGTATTTGTCCCCGCAATAGCCCAGTGTACATTCCGCTGTTGTGGTAGGTTTGTTATACAACGAACAATAATTTTTGTGATGAATTTTGTTCATATAAATGTCCGGTAGTGGGTTCGGGTCCACTATTCCGCCATGATGGACCCTGTGGCAGGTAACGTTCCTCGTTTTGGTACCACGACCGCAATGGGCGGAGCACTAAAAATCGTTTATTGATTTTTACTCAATTTTTGTACTGGTTGTGTTACTGTAGTTAAAATATTTTTAATTGCAACTAAAAAACTGATCACTACAGCAACACGATTGTTACTTCCTTTTTTTTATATATATTTTTTTTAATACACGTTTTTTATATTTACAAGTTAATTTACACTGAAAACAAAACTCTTATCAAACAATAATTATTTTCTAAAAAAAAGCTATATCCCCTACACCTATATGTTAGTCACAAAGTAATGCAAGCTCGTATCTGATCTGGCTGATATAACTGAAACCATTATTACATAAATCTTAAACGTTTTAGCCAACACCTTTCCTTATTCCTTTAAAACAGCAAAAACTTACATTTGACCAGTAACTCTCGATCCAGGCGTATTTACACGTGTATCGCTCGCAAGGTTTTGTGGCTTTCGGTTTTCTCAAATGTTTGCAAAAGGAATCGACAACAGTTATATCATTGAGAGGGTCTTCGCATTCAATAAGTCTTCTTCTAGTGCCTTTACCGCAGGTATTGGAGCACTTTCAGGAAATAAAATAAAGCAGTGTAAAAATGTAGAAGTGTCTATGGCAGGTGGTTAGTAAGTGAAGCGTTTGTACAGAGGTGGAGTAGGAGTAAAAGTGTCAGAAGCCAACTAGATGAATGATGTTGTGCTGATTAATTTAGACCGATCGAAATAACTCATTTAGAGGGGAAAAAAAAGAAAATTGTTACCTGGACGTTTATAAGTGGAAATGGTAAAGGGGCTTATAATAAACGAAAAAAATTAATGCATGAGCAGGGGTGGCGGAGGGTTGATTTGGGGGGTTGAAGTTGTGAAAAATTGTATCTTTGGGATTTCTAGCAAAAGTTGACGTCAAACAAAAAAGTATCCAATACAAAAGTTGTAGATCATGCAAAAATCTACAATTTTTGTAGAGGTCACTTTTTAAGATTACCTCAAAATTTACGAGAAAATTGCGAAAAACAGGTCTTTTTCTGATTTTTCGCTTTTTATTTCTCATTTCCGCAAAAATAATTTAATTTTGACGAAACTTGGTGAAAGTATACCTTTCTGTCTTAAACAACCACAAATTTTTTTAGATATAAAATAAAGGCGTTTCCGAAACAATGAGACAGTCTTTTTTGTATTTTTTCCGTACAATTGAATGGTGTAATCAGTTTTTGATTTTTTTTTAATTTGAACAAATCAACAATTACTGAGAAATTCATTGTCATTTTTTATTTATTTTTTTTGCGTTTGTGAGCATGCTTTTGAACTGATTACAGTTCAGAACAGATTTTCAAAGTAGAATTTTTCTTTGAAAAAAAAAGTGTTTCAGACAGGAAAAAATGAATATCTCACTCTTCTTGATTTTTTTATCTAAAAAAAAATTGTGGTTATATAAGACAGAGAAAGGTATACTTTCAACAAGTTTCGTAAAAATTAAGTTGTTTTTGCGGAAATGAGAAACAAAAAATGAAAAATCAGAAAAAAAACCGTTTTTCGCATTTTTCTCGGAAATTTTGAGGTTATCTTAAAAAGTGACCCCCCACAAAAGTTGTAGATTTTTGCATGATCTACTTTTGCAGTGCATACTTCTTTGTTTGACGTCAACTTTCGCCAGAAATCCCAATGATACAATTTTTCAACCCCCTAAATCTACCCTCCCCACCCCTGCTCACGCATTTACCTTTTTATATTTATTATAAGCTCCTTTACCATTTCCACTTATAAAAGTCCAGGTAACATTTGTTTTTTCTCCAAGTGTAATTTGGTTGCACTAAATTTGCCAATTTTTGCATTTACTCATTTTGTAGATGAGTCAATGTAAAATTTTTTAAAAATTGATGTATGAGCTAGAACATCCTTATAGTAAGGGATAAATTCAATAAAATTGATGTTTTTTTTTTAGATAAAAATGGTTATAGTACTAATTTTGAAAGAGCTTTTAAACGTACATGTTGTACCTTTTCCGTCAGAACTTTTTTAATAATTGTTTGTTTTTAAAAGTTAAGAAATATATATATATATATATATATATGTTGTCAAGATGTTTCCGGGTTCCTCTCCGCGTATGGTTTTCTTGATTGTGAACGTTCACAACGTATTACACGAAGTAGAACAAAGAAGACTTGAAAATGGCAAGTGTGATCTTGCCGAAACGTCGTCCAGAACACGATTCTATCCAGAATCAAGAAAACCATACGCGGAGAGGAACCCGGAAACATCTTGACAACACATATAATATCCGCGGAAATCTGAAGTTCAACATATATATATATATATGTGCTGTTATTTTGTTCAAAAAATTCCGGGACTGATCTACATATGGTGCCACAAATAAAAAATCCGTATGTGTGTTAGACAGTACTAAACTTCAAAAGAAACGTGTCAAAATTTCGTGAAATTTCAACCATTATCGGGATTTTGAAGTTATAGTGACCCTACTTTTGACATTTTCAAAACAATGGTTAAAATCGAATTGTAGATTAAACACTATTTTTCTGATAGGCAAAAATACCATTCGAGCTCAGCAATGGCTTGAAAGGTGTTATAGGGATTCTGCGCTCCATCAAAACAACCATTTGTCGAAGGTTTGCTGAGTTTAAATGTACACCGATGATCGTGAATACTCGGGACATCTAAATGAGGTGACAACACCAGAAAATATTAAAAAATCCTCAAAATTGTGTTGGACAACTGTAAAATGAAGTTGCATCCTATGGATATCAAACGGCAGTGTAAACTATCTCCTGTAACTTCACTTTACGGTTACTCAAGACAATTTTGAGGATTTTTTTAACGTTTTCTGGTACTGTCAGCTCATTCGGAACAGCAAACCATGGACAATTGGTTATTTTTGACGGAGCAGATTTCCTATAACACCTCTAAAGCCATTGCTGAGCTCAAACGGTATTTTTGTTCATCAAAAAACAGGGTTTAAACAAGACACGAAAACCAGTTTAGTCCGTTGTTTTGAAAATGTCAAAAGTAGCGTCACTATAACTTCAATATCTCGATAAGTAGTGGTAGAAATGTCACGAAACTTTGACACGTTCGTTTTGAAGGATAGTACTACCCAACGCGTGGATTTTTTATTTGTGGCGTCATCTGTGGGTTAGTTCCAAAACCTTTTTACCGACGTGTTGTTTCCGTAATACCTAATTCGCTTGCCATGTCAATGTGTTAAGATATTTATTAAAAAACTTAGTCAAAATAAATTTTATTCTAATTCACTTGTCAGCAGAGATATTTATTAGAAAAATTTAACTGACATAGTAGGTTTCTCAATTTTTTATCGTAATAGTATATTACGTAATAAGTGTTGTAAAAAGCATTTTACGCACAAATGGAAAAGTTACGCACGACGCCGCGTAATTCTATGAGTGCGTAATTGCATTAAACCACGTATTACGTACTATACTTTACCTACGACCACTACTTTAAATACTTAAAAACATACCGTCTGCGATCAATGCAAGATTCCTATTACGTCGTACGGTAAAAAAATCACACAGCTTGGTAAAAAAATCGTACAGTTTTCCTAGTAACCGCCTAGGCAACGGTCAATACAAACAGTATTGTATTGGCCGTTGCAGTTGCTAGGAAAACTGTGCGTTTTTTTTACCGTACGTAATAGGAATCTTACATTGATCGCAGACAGTGTGTTTTTAAGTACTTACAGTAGTGGTCGTAGGTAAATACATAAAAACTTTCTGGAAAAAGACGAATATGTTCATTGAAAAGCTGTTTAAAAGAATTTTTATATGAAATCACAAGGAACTGTTGATAACAAAAAAAAATCTAACCCTTTTATTGAATTTATGTTACTTTAGGGATAAAATAACTGAGTAATATACAGTGTTCAAAAATGCATGACTTCAACGAGACGTCTCGCAATAAAGTGTTTTTTTATGATAAATACCGTTTTGGCATCTGCTTTTTTTAAACCTTAACATCCTAATGTTTTTGGTAAATATTTTTGATTTCAAGCAATTTTTTATGCCCCTAGCATAATAGCGAAAGAAATAGGAAAACCCTAGGTATGATTGAAAGAAAAAAAATTATGTGCCTTTACAAATTGTAACACAATGCTCCGAAAAAATTGAGTGTTTTCTCAATCCAAATTTAAATATTTTTTTTTAATGTACAGGGTGTTTTCAAAAAAAAAAAATTTGTAACTGAATATCCTTTGAACGTAAAAAAATAAATGTTAATGTGTGCATATACATAAATAAAATGTTATTCAACATGACAAAATTAATTTTTAGCTCATTTTTCAAAAATATTTCCCGATTTTTTTTTTTTTTATAGAATATTTTTTACATATCATTGTGTTACACTCTGTATAGTAAAAATATAATCTGTATAAAACTTTAAATACATCACATATTACTAATTAATTTTTTTTTAATTTTTTTTGTATTTGTAACTAAAAAAAGTTTTGCTCGATCACACAAAAACGAATGATTAGACAAAGCTTAAATAACTTTAAAATCTTGCATCCTACCTGCTTCCAAGCTCCCACCTTCCAACGGTACCCTTTACCGCCGTAGTGTTCCGTTATTCGATTGACATTCGGGCATTCGGAAAGTTTACATCTTGTAGAATTATCCGGCTTATGAGACTGGTCGCATTCGCGTCCGTCTACCACAACGTCTGAAACAGGAAACATCATTTATTCACGTCGAATATTGTACGCTATGCCGTCGTACTCGTATAATCCACGCACGTCACTTGTCTACGCCTTTCGCAGTTAGAATCGCAACTGGGACTCCACTTGCCGGTCATCCACTTGGGGCACGGTTGGGTGTTGCACAGGTTGACAGTGCTAGGTTTTAGGTTAGAATCGCACCTCGTTTTGTCTTCGTGGCCCAGTTCGTTGACGCAGTGAGATATTTGGGTGCGCATGCCGCCGCCACACGTTTGGGAGCACTGATAACGGTCGGGTGTAAATTATCGAGTCTTGAAGGGGTTAGAAAATACTTACCGAGCTCCACTCTCCCGGAATCCACTCAAACGTGTCGTATCTGTTGTCAATTTCAGAGACGATTGAATTGTCAAAGTCGTTGTTGTATTTGTAAGGCCTCTTGTAATTTGGCAGGTTCTGTAAAAAAATTGTTAGTTCTTGTTTCACAAGTGTTTAAGTTATTTTCTTTATAAATATAAAAATGACCCAAATAAATGCTTTCTGTCAATTTCGCAAACGTACATCTTGATTTATTATTTAATAATAATATAAGGCTGACAGGGCAGGTATTAGGGTGCAACGAATAAATTGATCGATGCCAAGCTTCAGATCAGAGGCAGACATGTACATGTTACTGTACAATGACGCGGATAGTAAGACTACTAAAATGTGATGTAGTTGATGCTTCGGCGACTGTGATCTCGGTAAATGTTGAACAGTCATTTTCGTTTTTGAAATGGGTATATACCGATCACCGAAGATGATTGACCGTGGAACAGTTAACAGTATTTTGTTAACTTTTGCTGGTACTTACTATTATGTACGACACCTATATTTAATGGTAAGTTCCATGTCAAGCGTTTAGTGTGCAAAAAGAGGAAAGAAAAACTAACTTACTTCACAACTGCCTCTGTAGCACGCTCTCTTCTCGTCGGGTACGGGCAGATCCCTGCAGTAATCGTCGTGAAGAACTTCCTCCGAATTAAATTTCTTACAGATAAATTTTCTGCTCTCTGTACCTTTTCCGCATGTCACTGAGCACATGTGGTAGGTGTCCGACGCGGCCCACCGTCCACAAGCTTGCTCATTGCAGGGTACCCTGATGGGCGGTCTTGAGTTTATGTCACAGGCGTACTCGTATATTCTACCATCTAACACACAGTAGTACGTTACGTTCTGATAACCGCCACCGCATGGTGCCGAGCACTGGTAACAAATGAAAATGTAAGTGGTTTTCGGCGATTTCCATTAATTTTTTATAGTTCGGTGACAACTCCACTTTCCCTGATATTCTTATCTAAGAAATTTTAATTGCAATAGTCGTTATATCAAAAAGAAATTTAAGAACGGATATAACACCTTAAATAGTCACTACTCCTCAATATGTAGGTCTTCAGTATGACCAAACTAGCAGAGAATAATCTGTTATTTTGCAGGTACTATGAAAACAACAAAGATATATTTGGGAAACAACTACTCTGCTGACTGATATCCTGACCACCGTTGAATCACACCTGCAATATCTAGTAAGCAGCCAAGATTATTTGTCGGCAAAACCACCAGGCGTATATCAGTTTCGAATTCGTTAACTCTGATTAGTATGCGATCAGTGAGACAATGAATGTATGGTAAATTTATTTTGATGTTAATAAGTTCGAAACTGGTATATGTCTTGTGGCTCTGCTGACGAATAATATAGTTGCTTACTAGATATGGAATTTTAATAGGAACTAATAAATTAAAAGTGTTATGTGTCTGGTGGTTTTGCTGCCAAATTCAATTAAATGTCACAAGTGTAATTCAATTCTGAGCAGGACAGTAGTCCGCAGAGTAGTGGTTTACCTCAATGCCATTAATTAAATAAAAAGTTGTATGAGATCTTTAATTTGTCATAAATAATTTTTTATAGCAGTTTTGTGTGTGTGTAATTTGTATATTTTTTACTTACAGATGATGTTTCGGCCCATGTCCAGTTCGGACATCTTTCAGTATTACATATCTGTTCTGTAATCATCTCGCTATTGTTACAATAAGAGTCGTCTATAGGTGTGTACTTGTCATCAACGCATTTGGCTGTTCTCCTCTGTATCCCCCCTCCACATGTTTTGGTACACTGTAAGTGGTAAAACAGAACAAATTACATTTAATGATATTTTCGAGTTTGTATAGTCTGAACACCAGATTTATGTGATATTATTTTATAACTTTAATTTACCGTTACAAAATCGACCAATATAGAGTTTACGTAACAGCAGTCATATAATATATTGTACAAGGAAACGTACAACTGTCAGACTGATGTAAAACGAAACACCAATGTCTATAAAAGAATGTTTTTATGTTGGAAATTAAATAATTGTGAAATATATGTGAATATAAGCGATGCTTTTTATTTTTGAACGTACCTCGGACCACGGGGAATAGTCCCATCTTGTAGAATTGCACACCGAGTCGCATCTTTCTAACATGGGAGGTCTGGCCAGGACACTACAATGTTTTTCGTTGACGATTTCGCTGTAACTTGGCTTCTTGTACACCTTCATGCAGTCGTAGTGCACTTGACGGTATCTACAAATATTGACGGTTATTTATGGGGCATTTTACGCCAAATCGACCATTTTTAATCCCGACCCCTTTCGATTTGGCTGAAACTTTTTTATTGTTTTCTACTCCATTGAATACCTCTGAGAATTTTTTAAAATTTTTTCACACAACTTAAAAAAATTTATGAATTTTTGAAAAAAATTGTTTTTTTTTAAATAACTCAAAAATTGAGTTCTCAGGACAAAATTTTTGTCTTTAAATGTACTTTTTGAACAAAAATATATCAAAATTATCTGGATATATCTTCACTTTTTTTTTCAATTTTCGAAAAAAAAACGAAAATTACTCGATTACCATTTTTTTTTATTTTATAAAAAACTGACATTTTGAATAAATCCTCAAATTTTTTCAGTGGTGTTTTTTCGTTTTCTATTTTTTTTTATCGATTGAAAAAATAAAAATTTTTCAAATTTAGCCATTTTGAACATTTTTGAAAATGATATAGAATCCCAAAATTGAAAAAATATATATAAAAGAAATAATTGAAAGTAGTAAATATGAAAAAAAAATTCGTTTTTTTTAAAGTTAAGAAAAAAATAGATCATTTTGAATATTTTTTGTATTTTTTTGTCGAAAACTACATCCAAGAACAAAGAAAATGAACAAAAAAAGTTGTTATTTGGTCCATTTTTGGACGAACAGTGGGCTTTAAAGAAAGACATGCAACGCATTTTAACTCAAATATAACACGAGGTACTAAGTTGTTAAGCAATACACAATTCAGTTGGTATCTGGAATTAGACCGTGTCTGAGTGTTTTTTGCGTACCACTATTTCCTTTTCTTGAGGTGTTTTCCAGCAAGTGCGCGAATATTGGATTTGAAGGTGTCGTGTGTGCAAAGAAAATGGTGATGGACATTTTGAGCATATGTTGTAGTTTGTTTTGTACTTGTGTGTTTAAAAATTACTGAATTTTGCTTTTTGGTAAGTACCTAAATTATTTTTAATACGTATGATTATTTGGATGACGTGAATCTTTGGGTACTTTAACTACATATTTTTCAAATCCATAATTTGATTAAAAATTAAGTTCCTGTTTTAAGAGATTTATAATTACTAAAATTTAAGCACAACACTATCTTCGTACTACAAAATCGATACATTTTATTTTATTTATTTAAAAACTGGAAAACAATTGTCTTGAAATTTACTAAATGTTTCACAATAATAGTCGTTTACATTTTTTCCGTAGGACAAGTCTGACTAGTGGAATACTTCTTGCGCACTAGTGGAAAAGATTTATTCTGTGCACTAGTGCAAAGTTACATTTCGCGCACACACTGCTAGAAAGACAAGTTTACGATGCCGCTTCTTCAAAAAAGGCAAATTACAAATTTCTTTACACCAAAAAGTAATTTGAGTTTCAAACTAACCCTATTTTATGGAAAACCTGCGTTAGAATGGAGGAAAGTCTGTTGGATTAATTCATATTTAGACAAAATGTGCGATAAAATCGATAAAAACGTATTGCTGGTTGCCTATATGCTACAGAGCCCTCTTAAATTCGTAACTTTTCACTTACCCTTTGCCGCACGGCGAAGAACAGGGGCTTTTAGAAGCGATGTTCCAGGTAAGTTCGCAGTGAGTGTTGCACTCTTGCTTCTGTACAACGCTCTCGTCCATGGCATCGCAGTAGCCGTTGGGAACCTCGCCCCCTGTAGTGAGTTCCACGCAAACGGGTTTCCGGTACTGCTTGCCGTCGCATATCGAATTGCACTTCGACCACTGCTTCTGATAGAGCCTCCAGCCATAGCTAGAACCCAACCTAGAGTGTAATTCTCTGTACCTGATGTTACACGAGTCTTTGACACGAACTTACTACACAGACATGACACCTATTTCCTTAACACCAATGTTGCAATTTGCTTTATACAGGGTGCTCAGAAATCGCGTGGGTTATACACAGGGTGTAACTTTCAGGGGAGGGGCATTTTTTTTATAAAAGGTCAGTGTTTCACGTGTTTATGTGTCTTCATTGTTAAATTTCTTTGATATTATGAAAAAACATGTATACGGATCAAGAAAGATGAGCTTGGATAAGGCGTATGTTAGCTCCAATGGGTTTTTGAGGTTATACCAGCCTATTCAGCACGAAAATTACAAAAAAGGTTAAAAAAACGATGGTATTTGAGAAAACTTATGTTTCTAAAGGTCAAAGGTAGCCCCATTCAAAGTTATACCCTGCATTTTACACTGAAATTTTTTTATTACTGTACGTTCAAGAATTTTGAGTTCTGTCACACCCTGTATATATTGTTAGTTTTGAAAAATATCGAAAGACTTATCCGTGAAAGGTTCTTTTGATTTTTATAGAGGCAAGAGAGAAAAGGTACCACAATACGCCAATATACGGAGAAGTTCTAAATGTTCCCAATCGTTTGAGAAGCCTCTATCTTGACCGAGTCAAGCCGAAAATAGAAAATTTTGTTTGATCACAAAATTTTATGGGAAAAAGGAAAAATATTGATAGAGTTCACTTTCACCTGGAGAATAATTGAAGTAGTTTTATTTTTAACCTTAATATAGCCAACGTTTACAAAAAAAGATTGTCGTCATTACGTTTACGATTGATTAAAGCGTCAAATATTAAGGTACGCTCACTATATACGCTCTTCGTTATAAATTGCCTAGATTAAGGTTAATATAAAATAACATAAAGAGGAGTTGCGTATTTTTTGGCGAAGTTTTGTTTCGACAAACTACTGAAGCGAAATTTTGGTAATTAGCGTAGCCGCACCAAATTGCTGATTGTTAAGTTACGATATCTAACGATTAATAGTAGACGAAGAGACATTTTACCATTAAATACTGTTAAACGTACATCCAAAGCAATTTTGTTTTATGAAATACCTTCTTACATATCCACGGTAGCTACTCATACGATATCTTGAATACCTGATTACAAATATTAAATTACTATCGACGGTAAAGTAAAAATCGGTTAAGGGCCTTGTGAAAACCGAACACACATTATTTCACCTCGAAAAAAATTGAAGCGTGCAATAAATAAAATCAAAAACGACGTCTAACAATATGTATTCGGTTTCTCGGAGACCGAAACGTGAATAAGCCTCACCTGGGAGCTTCGTCTTTGTTTATAACGTATCGGTAGGTAATATGCGGCGCGGTGAGTTTACCCACCGATAAAACGGACAAAACTAGATCCTTTGTTAGTTTATGGTTCTTCGGGGTGGTTATCCACTCAACGGTAGCGTTAGTCCCACTATATTTGATAATCAAGGAACCGAAAATGACGTCCGTCTCGTGCGTTATGGCTATGTAGTTGCCGTTTAATATCGGAATACCGGTTTCTCCATCGATCAGAACTGAAAATGTGTACGTAAATTACCCGTGTCGGCGATGCTCAGAATGTAGGTACTTACCGAGATAATTTTCATCGTTCGCGTAGGGATACGGGTCTTGAGTGATGTTGATATTGGAACTGCCTTTAGGAATCCTTACGACCCTGTTGTAGCCGGACGTGTCAGCAGGTTTGTTGTACGTCCCGCTTATCTCTTGACAACGGCTGTTGTCCCCTCCACAAATACCGCAGTCGTCTAAAAATAGGTTTTATACAGGGTGTTTCGCATAAGAATCCCCCTACGTTCCCCTGCTCTGTTTCGGTTCTTACATTAAACACCCTGTATAACTGTTTTAAATCTACTTACCTAAGTCCATCTTGGACTCAAGTTTATTGTCACAACCGCCGGGCCTGCAATTTCCGTTAACGCAAATGTTAAAGCTGGTTAAACCGCATTTGGTGCCGTCTAACACCTTACTCTTAAGCAAGTAGTAGGCGTTGGAATCTTTCGGCCTGCAATATAATTTGCACATATCGTCTATTTGCTCTAAAAAGTACAAACATGAAATGGACGGGTTTCATGTTAACGTCGGATTTACAAACCTAATCCGTACTTTGGCACCCATTCCACGTTACTGGTTAAGTTCGGTAGGTTCTTGGTTATTCCATTAAACTCGGCACACTGAACTGCCCTGAAAAATTATAAAATGGGTTCTATATTTACAATTTTTGGCATAAGAATATAAATAATGTACATTAACAATTTATGGAACCCTCTAAAATGATACGCCCATGGAATTCACGGCACGCCTTTCTCGTTGCAGGAGTCTACATTGAAAATGAGTCACCGCCTATTATTTTTTTCAATGGACAATAACAAACATGGAAATGTAACTGAAATGAAAACATGTCAAAATTATAGAATGCAACTGAAATTGGTACTGTTAAATATTAAAAATTACTAAAAAAATCACTAGAATTTAGAATTGACCAATAGATTACAACCAATTCTATTGTCTCCAATATCTTGACCAATTTATTTAGTTCAAAATTGGTATAGTCTTCCCAGAGTCAGTTGAACATGTATAAAAACACCTAACAATGAAATTTAATGAGTTTTATAGGCATCCCTAAAACAGTTTTCTGCGAAAAAATAATATTAATTTATATATAATGTGTAGAAAATTTCTATTATTTGTTGATGGTAAATTTTGGTTATGACATCAAAAAACATTTACATTTTCATTAAAATATATTACTGCTCGCCAAGGACCAACGGAAAAGTACGAACATATCCAGCAAAGGATGAGGGAAGGTTGTTAGTTTAGGTTAGAAAAGTTATTAAATAAAAATTATCAACAATGAAATAATTCCGCATTGCTGCACTGCACTGCTAGGCAATTTGTCAACAACTGAAATTTATGGCCCAGTCGCCCAGTGCGGCTGTGTTTATGCGCCGTTTGTCCACGCGTGCATTCTTCAACTGGTCATATACATTCGATCAGACCTGTATATGGGTATGGCTAAATAAATATGGGAACAAGTCTTTCAAATATTTCAATGCCGAGTTGCTGTGAAGCGACCGAACCTGGTACATACTACCTAGCTCTTTGGTCTTCAATTGAGATCGGAAAGACTATAATTGCAAAAGACGTTTAAGTCGCTACTGAAAAGTAAATATGAAAAAAATAACTACCTGAAATCATCCGTTCCCGATTCACAGTCCATGGTATTGCAAGAAGCGTATCTAACGTTTTCCCCTATACAATAATTTCCTCCATTCACTGGCTCGGGTGAATCGCAATACCTTTGCGAGGTCTGGATGCCTCCCCCACACGTCCTACTACAAGGCCCCCAGCTGGAAACAAGTTTATTATAAAAATATAGACCACGATTATAGTAATTTTCTATGAATAGGAAAAATTAGTGACCGTTTTGTGATGACGGAGTTTTAAAAACACTTACTCTTGCCAAGGGCCCCATCCCCCGTCGATCGGTATAAAATGTTGTCTATTCTCCGGTATACACTGTCTCCGGAAACACCAGCTTCGATCCCCGCATTTGGTACCCTCCGCCCAAGGGGACCACTGCGTCTTGCAGCCCTCTTTGCCGATGTCCGTAGTACACCACAGCTGCCCGCAAGGGGGCTAGAAAAATAGTAACGGTTAATTTATTTTAATTTAGGACCGAACGTCTGTCTAAAACTTACTTGGAAGGGACAGACTTTCGATTCGGGGCCAAATTCTAATTCGCATTGACGATCAACCTCAAATTTATCCCCAGGTAGTATTTTCGTGTGACTAGAGGTTATCAAGTCTTTGTCGGGCGGATTGTTCAGGCACTTCGCCTTCCTAGAACTAACGAAAAAGAAAATACATATTTGGTGTTCCGTATATGAGACATATCCACAAACTAAGAGCACTTTTGTTTTCGACAAAGTTGGCAGCACTACTTTCAAGGCCAAGGTGTTGGGAGCAGAACACGTGCTCTTTTGTTTCAGTCAGTTGAGAACTGTTGTTGTAGTGGCGTGTTAAACTGAGTGTCGCTATGCCCAATCCCGCCAGCTGTGAGATGAGAAGCATGATCCAGTTTTTTCTAGTAAAGGGAAAGGCGCCGTTTCAGATTTTTAACGAAATCAAAACTGTTTATGCAGATGGTGTGATGAATCGTACTGATGTGTACAAGTGGTGTTGTGAGTATAAAGCTGGCAGAACAAATGTTCACGATGAACAAAAGAGAAAAATCATTACAACTGTGTTTTGGGAACATAAAGGGATTCTTCTCGTTGACTTTTGCCCCACGGGGAAACAATTAATGCTGTGCGGTACTGTGAAACCACGAAAACACTACAGAGGGCCATACAGAACGAGAGAAGGGGAATGTTAACGAAGGGAGTGTGCTTGTTGCATGACAATGCACGTCCCTACAAAACAATTCTTGGATTCACTCGATTAGAACATCAACTGACCGGCTCACAGCCCTGACCTGGCACTCTCTGATTTTCATCGTTTCTCTTTGAAGGTGTTTATAGGTGGAGAAAGGTTTTCTACCGATGATGAATATGTATATTTTTCATGAGTATACCGCCGTTTCGATTTTAAAAAAAATTGAGTCCTCTTTGTAGATATGCCTTGTACATGGATCTCCAGATTTGATTAATTAATATTTGTGTATAAATATGTAAAACGTTTAATTTCGGTTTGTATTTCTAAGAAAATGATAATATCTTTCATTTTATTCAAAAACTAATTATTAACATAACTATGAAAAGTAAGAAAGTCTTTGGAGTACCAATTTTTAAGCTTCTTAAAGATAGCAACCCCGTAAAAAATTTAAAATAGTTGCGTTAACCATATATTTATTCTCTGAGTTTAAAATTGTATTTTTATATTTTTATTCACATATTTTAAATTTTTTCAATACCACTGATTCGCAGATTTATGTACTAAAATATTGAGACACCATGTATTTACTTTTTTAACAATTTAAGCTTTTATTTTATTATAAACGTTAAACACCCATGATTGATGGTATTTTATAAATGTGCAGGTGTATTAAAGAGTCTACTAACAAAAACGGTACTGAAGAATTTACACGCCCAATATTGTGATTTATTGGCACTTCCCCGATGTTACATTCAATTAAACTTAATTAATACCTCTTTCATTATTTGACACGTGCCTCTTTATTTGCAAGTAAGAAATCGCTTATTTATAAACGAAAGTCTTGACTGCGGTAAAACTGGGGAGTAACGAATAGCAAATTCAATCACTCCCGTCTGATTGCCCTGCCACAACGAATATGTTCCAGTCAAACATTTTAATTGGTTATTTACTATAAAATTTGATCTTATCTCATTTCGACGTAATCAATCATTTCAAACTGGCCATTAAATTAACAATCAAAGCCTTTATTACACCATTAAGTATTGCTTATAAGGTCGTTCGGTTCGCGGAGAAAAACCTGAATTTTTTGCAATGTAATAATCTATAATAAAGGCACTATTAGTAGGATGTGGTACGGTATACTTTTTTATTGCAGCTAATTGACATCGTTTTGCGTCTAATTATTGTAGAAATTGTAAAAATCTGGGTCGCTATGGAGCTGCTTTAAAAGGCATTGCTGGACATTCCTCGGTAATGCCCAGGTGGCTTAACAGCGTAGTTAGTTCCTTCTTTATGTGTCAGTAGTGTTCGAGAAAACTGACATTCTTCGGTTTAAATAAGGTAATTAAAATTCTCGCAAGATCTCGCAACTTGATGAAACAATTCCATTTGAGGGAGAGAGAGGAAACTAGCGAATCTAGCACTTCATGTGCAGTGTTTTCGAATCATTTGATACAATAAATTGAGGAGAGGTCATTTAGGCCAAAAAGCCTTAACGAGATAGAGGCCTAAAGTGATCGGTTTTCGAGACACAGACCTAAAACAATTTTAAAACTGTTAATTTCGTAATAAAAAATTATAGTCCTCTGCCCCCACACTGAAAAAGGAGTTGAAAAGATGGCCTAGCCCCATGATAGAAGCCGGAGAAACCACAAGATCAATGTCGGACTTATTGCACGTGGCGCCCAACGTGGGGCACCTCTAGACGGAGTGTATGTTTAGGAAATGCGTAACTCCTTACTGCAGTGACACTTCTATTATGAGACCCCCATATGAAACTTTCAGAAAGATTCTACAAACCGGGACATGTGGAACTATGCGTTGGACGAAACCCTACAACCACCTTCAAGGAAAGTTCTGACCGAGAAAAACCCAGTGGTGCCCATAATCGACAAATGTTACTGAAGTATCGAAGGTGACCCTAAACAAGGATCTAGAGAGGGTTTTATAGCAAATAGACAACCAGCAATACTTGTTTATAGATTTTATTACACAGTTTGTCTAAACATGAATTAATCCACAAACAACAGACTTTCCTCCATTCTAACGCAGATTTTCTATAAAATGGAGTTAATTTGAAACTCAAATAACTTTTTGCTGTAGAGAAGTTTGTAATTTACTTGTTCAAAAGCGGCAAATTACAAATTTCGTTACACCGAAAAGTAATTTGAGTTTCATACAAACTCCATTTTATAGAAAATCTGCGTTAGAATGGAGGAAAGTCTGTTATTTGTGCATTAATTCATATTTAGAGAAACTGTGTAATAAAATCTATAAAAATGTATTGCTGGTTGCCTATTTGTTATAGAGCCCTCTTAACAAAGGAAATTGCAACACTATCGAAGAACCTAACCTCACACTTTTGGGAAAATTCCTTTGACAAAATAGTATATGCCTAACAATAGTATTACTATTTATCATTGCAAAACCACTAAATTGTATCAAAAAATAAAACATTTTTAAAAAATTTTTTGTAAAGTTCAACTTACTCTAAAAATTCCGTGACGATGTGTCTGGAACAAGGAGACCACATAAAGGGCTTGGTGTCGTTTTTCAACATCTTATTCATGATATTGTTCTGCTTCTTCCCTTTGTTGTACTGTTCGCACTTCCTGTCTTCATCGTGGGGCATACTGTAAATATATAATTAATAGAACCAATCGTCATCTCGCCGTTCTTTTTTACCTTAAGACATGTCCGAGCTCATGAGCTATCGTGTAGGACGAAGCGAGCCCCTTATCTTTAACGATGGCGCAACTCGACGGTCGACACATAGATCCCACTTCTGCCACCCCTAGTGTGTTGCACAGGTTAGCTGTCGAGTTCTTACATATGGTGTTCCTGTAACAGGGGCAGATTTATAAAAAAAAAAAAGTCGGATGATATTTTGTTTAGTTTACAACTTTGCTGTGGATGAATCGATGCCAATGCTCTACTCCACTTAGGTCATCCGACTTGAAGACGTAGAGTGGTCTACTAAGGACTAGGGCACATATCTAAAATTAGGCCTTCTAGATATATACTTACGAATTCCATGGCTGGCTGCGATTTGATTTGAAATTAAAGTTTAATGGAAAAGAAGTTTTGGGAAAATATTTTTTTTTTAATTGAGACTATAATATCCCTTTCAGTTTAAAAATCTAGGAGGCTTTGAGAATGCCTGAAAAATTATCGATCCTACTGGGGCAAAAAATACCTACAGATTTTGTCGGTGGAGTATTGTAACACTCTGTATATTTATAATCTAATACAGTGAAATAAGTTAGTAGACATTTTATTGCAGTTTCTGACGGGGAACGGTATATAGAAAAAAGTAACTCAAAAGAAGTGACGCTAAGTTGGCAAGTTGCAAATTAAGTGGCAAATTTATGTGTTTATTCCCTTTTTTTACTGCCCACGAAAGTAGGCAAATAAATTACCTACAATTTTGTTAACTGTAAAATAACAAAAACAAACAAAATTATAAACAAATTGTCACAGGGTCAGGCAAAAGCCGCTCGGGAATTCGCTCTTTTTGCATTAAATAAAGCTTATTTTTACGGTAATTAAAAAAAAAGAGAAATCACCTACACCTCTTTGTTCCTAAGACAGCTTTTTTTATATAACGTTAATTAATAATTAACTATTTAACGTATGGGACGGGGATTTTATAGACAATTAAAGAAAGGGTTAAACTTTTATTTTCAGAAAGTTTTACATTGATTGTTCATGTAATAAACGCGGTAGCAGCATGTTAATGAACGACCTTTAGGCCGGAGGAGCGCCAGGCCCGCGCATGCGCTTGAATGTCGCCCTCGTCGCGTGCGAGATTTCTGACTTGAATATTTCAAATTCGGTTACTTCCCCGTCAAGTGCAAAAAAATTTCTACTAATAATTTTTTCAAGTTTGCAGGTTTTATGTTCTAATTCGACTGGAGTATAAGTTCAGTGATCTAATTTATAGAAACAAAAAAATATTCAATACCTTGTTAGTAGTACAGCAACGTCGTGGGTCTTCTGCCAGATATTGTTCTGTTGCCACTCGCAAAATTTCCTCAACATATCTGAAATGTAAAAATAAGTAGAAAGGAATTAAAAATTGTTAGAGAAACTTTAGTTTTAGTGAGCATAGAAATATATAAATACCTACCCACCTTGAGAATTACTATTAGCGAAGTCGTTATTCTTTAACACAGCGATTTTCACCACTGCGATTGAAATTGCGTTTCCTATTGTTGCATCTTTGTAGATTAGTGATACCTGCCAATTACAAAACATTAATTTACATTAAGCATTTTTATTTTTATAATGGGGTTTGTTATTTTTTAAATTTTTATTTCCAAAAAATGTTTGTCTAAAATATTTAACACGTATTTTGTCATTTTTGGCGGATTGAAATACGTCATTTAGAATTTTTGCGAAAGTTTGGACATTTGAACAACAAAGTGAAGCACCTATTTTGTGTCTTGATACAAAGATACTTCTGTGAATTAACTCGGTTCGTTGACGCATGACGTCACGTGGAGAGTAATTCAAGTGGTATCCAATAAATAAAAACAGTAAAATAAAATAAAATAAAAAAAATAGAATAAAAAAGTAATAAAATAAAATTTAAAAAAAATATAGAAAAAAATAAAATGAAAAAAAATTGACTAAATTCGTATTTTTTTTTATAAATAATGGCTAGAGAAAAAGTAAAAGGATTTTAAAATTCAAAGTTTATATTTTTAAGAACAATATTATAAAATAAATAAATAATAAAATATTCAAAAATTAACATCGATTTTTCCCGATATTCTGAATATATAGGCATTTTTTATTTTTGACTGCTAAATTAATGTTTATTTTGTTTTGTATAAAAATACTAATTTAAACAATATTATCCATAAATATTAAAAAAAACGGTGGTGCGAATTCGCACTAGTGTGACTTTTGAGGCTTAAAAAACATAATTCCACTTACGTGAGACATCAACGTTAAAATATAATGATGGAGATCGTCGTCCCTTACGTGGTACTTGACCATACTTTCGTCCGCCACCACCAGGACCTTCACGAAGTACTCCTGACTGGTTTTGGCGTAGCTGCCCCATTCGATCTCGCGAGTCGCCCTGGATAGTTCGTCCAAAATTGAATAATCCTTATCCGTGTCGATATCGCAAGTCTCGATATAGGCAGTCTTAGTTTCTTCGTCGACTACTATTTCTCTTTTCTTCCGTATGTGGTCTCGATGGCGTTCCACTATCTCGTAGTCGTCCTCGATGATGGTCCGGTTTTCTACAAGTAAAATAGGAGAATCAATAAGGTTTTGGTGTCACCAAGCATATACGTATACAATTGCAAAACCTTGGAAAGCGAGACTAATTTAAAAAAAGGTAGTCAAGGATAACAGGGATTACGTGTAAATTTCACTAATAGTCGTGTAATAACAGAAAAAGTTATGGAATATTAGAAAATTTAATCGTAAAAAATGCAAACAAGTTAATAATGATTTGAGTACAAAGTAGGTACACCAAAATATTTCGTATGTTCTTTACAGTGTGCTAAAACTAAAACACTGGTCTGCGGTGTTGCCACCACCCTACAGGGTGTTAAATAATAGCGCAACAATCCTGACAAACTGAAAATTTCAATAAGTGATTAAAGTAGTACGTTTTTTTCTTGTGAAAATTTTGTTCCATGGTGAAAAACGGCACTTTATTGAAGAGTAAGATGTAATATTATTTTCACTACAAAAAAATATGTTATAAATTCGATAATAAACAATTTACTTCACGCACGCACAAGTGCTTGTCGTTTTTGTGATGTGTTAAAAATTTTAAAATAAATAATGTAGGCTACATTGAATTAGGTAAATCAATAAATAATGAAAATATGTCGGTGCACAAGGAACACTAGCGACCCTAGCGGTAAAAACTATAAGTAATTTCTACTATTACATTGACAAATGTCAATTTTCGCGTACGAGTTCGTGCTCCTTTTCTAGTCTCCCTGTGTCCAACCTTCATTATTTTAGATATATTGCTCAACAATGAAAACGCGTTGTTCTTTCCTGTAGCGCATTTTTAATAACCCTGAACTGTCACCTGTCACGCTGTCTTTTTTTTTCATTGGCAACACTTTACCGCACAAATAGCACGATATTCTAATCGTGAGTAAATTTTAGGACAACCGATATAAAAGATATACAGGGTGATTCACTTTTTATGATTAGGACTTTAACCATCGATAGATCTCGTCAAAGTAATGTCATTTTGAAGTATACACTTTTTCTTCCAAAGGCTCTTGAAAAAAACATTTTTTTTTTGTTTTTATTTATTTTTTCTAAAACCATGAAAGTCACTTGTTTTATATTTAGTATGAAGTGTACGACTAAAAAACTCAATTTTACAAATTACTGTGAAAATAGATCAATCATAAGCGTCCGTAAGGGGTTCTGATAACCCCTATTTTTAATATAATTTTTACGCCATTAGAAATTTTTCAAAATGTATACATTTTTTTACATTGCGGTTTATTCTACAGCAAGAAGGTCTCTTACTATTTTTAAATCAAATGCTTGGTTTTTGAGAAAAATGGCTTCTTATGTGTATATGTGAAATGATGAATTCAAACAAAAAAAATTTAAATATTTTACTCAACGACTTACGATTACTATTAACGAGAAATATGTGGATTCAGATGGATGGTGCTCCAGCTCATTATGGTCTTCAAATTAGGCTCAGGGAGCACTATCCGCATCGTTGAATCTGGCGTATTTTGGAAATGAATCATGCAGAACCTGATACCAGTCCCATTGCTTGACCGTCACGATCGCCAGATCTAAATCCCATGGATTATTTCGTTTGGGGATATATTAAAGAAAGTGTGTACTCTTGAAAGGTTAAGAAGAAGAATTGAAAATAATTGCGAAACTCTTAAAGACAATGTAAATTATCATAATACTCGACAGACTAGTTATTTGCGACCGCCTCGTTTTCGACTAAATCTATCATCCAGAAATGCACCTCAGCTAAATCTTTACAATGTTTTACCTGATGCCGTAAAAGAGTTAAACTCTTGTAAATTTAAATCAAGTATCAGGAAATATCTTCTCGAAAATTGTTTTTATTCGGCGCAGGAGTATCTGAGTGCTACCACCAGGATTTTAAATTTTTAATTATTTTTTGTCTTGATTATTTTAATTGTACTTTTGTCGTTATGTATGTTTTGTTACTCTGTTATTTTTTGTTTTATACATATTGTCCATTATTATTTTTTTTTACTATTGCTATATGTTTGTCTTACTACAATTGTACCTCTTTGTATAAAAAGTAGTTAATAAATTTATCTATATATAATACCAATATGATTAGGAGAGCAGTACAAAGCTTAATTAGGCGATGTAAAAAATACATTTAGGTTCGAGGACAACATTTCGAACATTTGTTGTGATACTTTTTCTTTTGTTCCCTATTGTTAATTGTTATTTCTCTTTGTTTCTCAATATTAAATATTTTATTCTATGTTAAGTACTTTGAAATACTTAATCATTTCACATGTACACATAAGAAGCCATTTTTCTTAAAAACCCAGCATTTTATTTAAAAATCGTAAGAAGCCTTATTGCTGTAGAATAAATCAAAATGTAAAAAAATATATTCATTTTGAAAATTTTCCAGTGGCGTGGAAATTATATTAAAAATAGGGGTTATCAGAACCCCTTACGGACGCCTATGATTGATCTATTTTCACAATAATTTGTAAAATCGAAAGAGCTTTTCATTTGTATACTTCATAGTAAATATAAAACAAATGGCTTTCATAGTTTTAGAAAAAATAAATAAAAACCACAAAAAAAATGTTTTTCAAGAGCTTATATCTCTAAAAGGAAGCCTTAGGAAAAAAAGTGTATATGTACAGGGTGGTTGATTTTCGATAGTTTTATAGGGTATAGCCAAAACGGTGATAGATACAGAAAATCTGATATCGATGTCCCGTCCTCTTTTTTTGAGTTTACTTCGCTGGTAACAAAAGGTCTTGGCTAACTTGATTAGTTTTAGATATACAGGGTTTTTTTGAAAAATGGCCCATTTACATTAACCTCTCTATCTCCGTTGTCATTCAATTTAGAAGAAAAAAGTGTGCACATTATTTGTTCTATTTTTTATTAGGAAGCCATTGGCGTACTCAGATTTTTTACAAATCGCACAGTTTCTCCGATATTGCATAAACATAGGTTTTTTTAAATAGAACACCCTGTATTTGGCCATCCCGTTGAGTAGCATTTTTTTTTACCTTTTCAGCTATATATAATAATAGATACTTTTTATTTGCCTAAATGAAGAAAAATGCAAAAATGTAGATATAGATATTTTTTCAGTTGGCCATGTTATTTATTTATTCGTCTTTTGTTGTTTAATATTGACAGTTAGTTTATTTTTGACTGATTGAAAGCTTGTTAAACGTCTATTACTTGGTTTTAATTTTGAAAAGTATAAAAATGGTGTACGAAAATCTTCACAAAGTTCAAATGTTAGAGTGTTACATTGAAAGTGAAAAAAATAGTGACACAGCTTTAAACTTATATTTGGAGAGATACCCAGAGCGTCATCAGCCAGAAAAGAGAATTTTTAGCCGACTCTATGATAATTTGTGTGAGTTTGGTTCTTTTCAAAAACCGAGAGCTAAATCTTATAATATACAGAATAGAGAAGATGATGAAATCAATACTTTAGCTTTTGTTGTCGCAAATCCCAACGTATCCAGCAGAGAAATTCAAAGAACGATAGGAATTGGTAAATTCAAAGCATTGAGAATTTTAAAAAAACACAAGTTTCGACCATATACTATAAGAAAAGTCCACCATTTGCATCCAGGAGATGAAGAGAGACGCATCATTTTCTGCCAATGGTTTTTGCAGCAAACTCATGTATACCCCAATTTTTTTCAAAATGTTATTTGGACCGACGAGGCTTTTATAAGCAGCGAAGGTATATTCAACCGGCATAATGCGCGTTATTGGTCAGATGTTAATCCTCACCAAACTGTGGCCAGAATTCAACAAGGGCGATTTGGTTTTCATGTATGGGTAGCTCTCTTCCACAATAGAGTGTTAGCTTACGAAATGTACGATGAAAACCTTAACGCTCAGAGATATGTGAGAATTTTACAAGAAAATATTATTGAACTGCTGGACGATATGTCACTAGCTCAACGATATAATATGTTCTTTCAGCATGATGGTGCGCCTCCACATAATTCCCACATAGTTAGAGAATTATTAAATCATAATTTCGGGGACAATTGGATCGGTACGTACGGACCAAACAGGTGGCCGCCTAGGTCACCAGACCTAACCCCTATAGACTTTTATTTTTGGGGGGATGTTAAAGACAAAATTTATAAGTATAGAGCTAATAATGTCGAGGAGCTAAGGGAACATTTTGAAAACTATATTCAGCGGGTGTCAAATATTCACATTTACAATGCGACCCGTTCCATTGCCAAACGTTGTCAGTTATGTATCAACGAAAATGGCCGACAATTCGAGCACTTGCTGTGACTTTGTTATGTCATTTTTGTTTTATTGTTGTTTCTCTCATTTTATAGTTGTTATTTTTGTTTAGTTTATGTTTAGATAATAGTTATAAGTGTACCTATAATTAAACCTATTAAGTAAAGATAAATGGATAATCTAATTTATTTTTTTTTTAATCTTTTAGTCTAAGTTAGGTGCTTAACATAAAAATAATAATAGAAAACGAAGAGACCAATACTAAATATAACAATAAATAACATGGCCAACTGAAAAAATATCTATATCTATACATTTTTGCATTTTTCTTCATTTAGGCAAATAAAAAGTATCTATTATTATATATGGCTGAAAAGGTAAAAAAAAATGCTACTCAACGGGATGGCCAAATACAGGGTGTTCTATTTAAAAAAATTTATGTTTATGCAATATCGGAGAAACTGTGCGATCTGTAAAAAATCTGAGTACGCCAATTGCTTCCTAATAAAAAATAGAACAAATAATGTGCACACTTTTTTCTTCTAAATTGAATGACATCGGAGATAGAGAGGTTAATGTAAATGGACCATTTTTCAAAAAAACCCTGTATATCTAAAACTAATCAAGTTAGCCAAGTTCTCTTGGGACAAGCGAAGTAAACTCAAAAAAAAGAGGACGGGACATCGATATCAGATTTTTTGTATCTATCACCGTTTTGACTGTACCCTATAAAACTATCGAAAATCAACCACCCTGTACATCAAAATGACATTACTTTGAC